ATTTGAATATTTATAACATTATTACTATAATACTATATTCAAACATTTGATTATATATATAAGTTAATTCATTTTTAAGTTTTTATTTAAAAATATGAAATATATAGTTTATAAGGAAATATTTAATAAGTTAATTCTTATTTAATTAGTTTGAAGTAATAAAAGTTTAAATTATTAATTCCTTTTAATCCTTTCAAATACAATTATTTTATTAAGATAAAATTTGATATATAATAAATAAGCATAATAAGATACAAAAATATGACATAATAAAATATAATAAATATAAATTATAAATAAACTAATATTAGTTACTACTAAGATTTATGTAAAACATTTAGAAAAAGATAAAGAAGAAAAAAAATTAACTTTGTGTTCATCAAATTGGTTGAAAATATTGAAAAAAAAAAAACAAATTGATAGGAGAGATTAAGGAAATGTGAAAAACTGAAAGATAAGAGAGAATAATATAATAAATTATTTGATATAAAAGATTGAAAAAGATAAAAAAAATTAAAAAGTGGGTAGAAGAAAAATAAAAAGTTTGTGAAATATAAAAAAATAATCTTATATGTAATAGAAAAAGATAATGAAATACTTTTAAAATATTAATATTTTAAAATTTTAATATAAAGTCGGGGCGGGGACGGGGTCGGGGTGGGGATTGCATTACCCATCCCCGCCCCCACCCCCGACTTTTTAAAGCGGGGAAAACCTAACCCCGCCCCCAGTCAACTCGGGTTTTCCCCGTCAAACTCGGAGCGGGGACGGGTCGATCCTCACGGGTACGAGTTTAATTGTCATCCCTAATTGGATACTACCGTGACAATTCCTAACCAATTATTAGGCAACGAAGATAATAATAACAGGGTTTGTACTTCATAAAATTTAATATTCACTTACACTAATCTTAACAATAAGGAATTAAATTCATTTACATGACTTATAACACTAACACCTTCTCGCATCTTCGTATTAACTAATTGACGAATAAAAAATACCTTGTTTGATATCGATGGCTTCTCATACATGTTTGATAATGTTTTTATCAAACCATATGTCGTCTTCTCATTAATGATGTTGTAGGCAACATTTTTCATCAATGTTAATCTAACAACGCCCAAAACATGTCAATCTAATAACTCTCAATTTGCTTCAGACATCGTTTCTGGTTTATTTTCAGACAAAGGCTGGTACAACTTTTTTTGATAAAGATAATTTTCAATCTGCATCTTTCAAAATTCGAAATCGCTTCCATCAAACTTTTCAATCTTCACTTTCCCGTCTTTAGTCATTGCTCCCACTCGCATGAAAAAACCTAAGCTCTTGATACCAGTTGTTGGAAACACAAATGTAATACAAGACGAAAGTAAATAACAAGAACATAAGGAATTTACGTGGTTCAGTCAAAGTGACCTACGTCTACGATTTCACTAGATGATAGTTCTCATTCATCCAATTAGGTTTACAATTACATCAGTATTTATAATAAAAGAATAAGTAAATGGGTCAGACCCAATAACCCTTCAGACTTAACATACTTAACAATTATATATCTTCATGAAAAACTACATCCATTGTTATATACAAAAGATGAGTAGGAGGATGATAACATATATCTTTTTTATGTATAACCTATCCAACAAACACACATTGAATGGTGCTTATGAAGATGAACAAATGCAACACATCCAAATACATGAGGGGGTACATTAGAAACAATTGGAGTGACAGTTAAATTATAGAGTTTTTCAAAAGAAGCCTTAAAACCAATAGAACTTGAGGGAGTCTGATTTATTAAATATATTACTGAAGTAAGAACTTTTCCATAGAGACACAATGACATATGTACTTCAATCAATGAAGCGTGAACAACTTCTAACAAATATTGATTTTTTTTCTCAGCAACCCCATTTTATTGAGATGTATGAAGACAAGTAGTTTGATTAATAGTTTCATTAGCTTCTAAATATTGTTACAGTTTATAATTTTTATACTCCCCACCATTATCACTACGTAAAACTTGAATTTTAGCATTATATTTGAGTTCTTACAGTTTTATAAAAAAAATTAAATACACTTAACTCATTTTTTAATTTCATTAAGAATAACCAAGACACTATTGTACAATCATTAATAAAAGTAACAAACCAACGAGATTCACCTAAAGTTTGAATTTTAGATTAATCTCACACATCAAAATGTATTATGATAAAGGTTGAAGACTTTTATTTAAAATGAATGGAAATAATGTTTTATGATTTTTTGCTAATTCACAAACATTACAATTAAAATTGGAAACATCATGTTTTTTAAATAAAATAGGAAATAATTTTTTTAAATACTCAAAATGAGGTATAACCAAGGCATCCATGTCACAACTAGATTTGAGATGTTTTATTTTCTTCCTTAGAGTTTACTAGCAATTAATGCATGTTGTACCTCATCAATTTTTTTTTTGAAAGATCTAGTAAATATGTGTTTCCTCTCTCTTAAAGAAGGAACAATGAAGATAGAATCAAGATTTAAATTACTTATAATATTCAAAGTTCCTTCCCCAATAATTTCAGCTTTATTTATATTTTCAGTATAAATATATTTTTGTGTAGATAGTTTAATTTTGGTGATCTTTCTAAGATAAAATATTATATGATTTGTAGCTCTACTATCAATAATTCATATATCACTAAAAATATTAACAATCTTACATGATTATTTATAGTTGTTTCTAATACAAATATCTTTTTATTTTATTTGACAACGAAGACCATTTTTTATCAACTTTGATATTTGTATCCCTTTCTTGTCATCCTAACACCTTTTGAAAGAGTTTTGAATACTTCTTGAGTTTGAATAAAATGAAACTAATTTTGTTCCATATATATCAAATTTCATTTCTTCTATTTGGAGGTTTCAAAAGATTTAAGATCTAAAAAATTGTCATTACTTTGATACCAACTTAAAAATTATAAACTAAAATATATTCATTCTCTAATATAAAATAAAATATGTACAACCTATTTATAAGATACATATATACGTACCTCATTAGGTTACTAGGAAATTAAAATATTTTACAATTACGACAAATCTTAATAAAATAATATACAATATGTATATTTACAAAGAAAATAAAAAGAAAGTAAATATTAACAAAAAGTGTGATAGTAACAAAATAATTGTATATTGAAGAATAAAAAGACATCCTAAAATCAAAATACAACATCTAGTGACGTACTTGAGTGTGACATGTATATTCATTGAGATATGTCTTTAGTTAGGAGTTTCATAAATATTGATGAAATTATTCAATACACTTAACATAGTATGTTGGATTAATAATTCATCGAACACAAACAAGTATAGGATGTTAATACTTGAGATTGTTGATATGACGTCCAGTGAAATAACGTTCTTTATCACATTTGTTTTACTAGGATGTAAAAATGGAAACAACGTTGTCTAGGATCTTGAAAGAGTTAAAATGCTACTTTTTAAAGTTTTATCGTCACAAGTTTATAATGGATTGCAATTATTTAGGAGAGCCACGAGAACAAGTGATAGATGCTTGGGTTAGTGTTATGAATAGTTTGATTTTTTATGCTTTTTGAACATCCTTCGATAATATTTGAAGTAATTTGTTCACAATAACTTTTATTTGTTAAATATGTGAAGGATGTATGGGTAACTCAACATAAGAAAAAAAAATTGTTAAGACAAATTTATTAGGTGATGTCCTCGTAGAACACAACAAGTAATATATTTACAATATTACCTTGTCAATGCCCATATTGTTTATGGTTTTGATATGTAGGGTTAAGGTTACCTACTAAAGCCTGAAAAGGTTGTTTCAAAGTAGCACGAGACATGTATAATTGTTAGGATTCTGTGATTATAACATAACTTTACAACATAATAAAAGTAAAACTTATTGTAGAAGAGTCTTCACATCGTGTACCATGCTTTAAATATCACATTGTTTATTATATGATTTTGTCTCAAAACATCGATTAAGTAAAGTTGAAAAACAATTATGATCGAGGCAAATATGTCATGATCTTTCATGTGTTTGTGAATGACGTAAAACATTGTGTTAATAACATACCAGTCACCTTGTAAACACACCTTAACTATATTTTATCAAATGAGTCATCCACATGTATTTATTCAACATACATTTGATATCATATTGACCTCTTTTAATTAAGTTGACTTGGTAAATATAAAAAATAATTTTCACGTAATTACATATTCAAATTTGATATTATTCAAAAAATATTCAATAGTCAATTTTATTATATTTTTAAATTTTTATTTGATAATAATAAATATCATTATGATTATTTCACGACAAATTATTTAAGAATTCAATATTCCCCTAAAAATAGGAAAATGATATTTAACATCTAACTTTAAATAAGCAACCAATTAATAACTATTCGACGAGATAGTAAAAGAGAATAGTATAAATGTAGATACTTTTAAATAAATTATATTAAAAAATGTCTTATATTATTTCAATTTATATAAATGCGTTAAGAAAAAAATTATAAAATTTTAATTTCCAAATATTTAAATTTTATAAAAATATGTGTGCATTAGAATAAATTTTATATTCACATATCTTGTATTATAACAATTTGTACAAACATGTTAAGAAAAAAAACATACAAAACAACATTGTTGAAAAATCATTAGATTCAATAATGAACAATTGAAAAATATCTTTGATTAATAGAACTTACAGTATCTTTCATCTTTTATTATAAGAGTGAAGAAGAATATTACAAATGGGTCATACAATACAGTGCTACAGAAATTTACAGACTCAAGTGAACAAGGATAAACAAGACACCATGGATAGAAAGAAACTCTTAAACCAATAGGGCAAAATTCGACCAGAAAAAGGAGGGCGAAAAAATAGATAAGACCTAGACCTTTTGGAGCCTAAAAAATAATATGGTCTTCGAATGAGAAATAAATAATCTTCTTACAGATCCTTAAAATCCTGGTAGAACAGTAAGGTCTGCTATTCCTTTAGGGAGGTCAGCAATTCCTTTTAACAGGGTTAACCTGTTTACTCTGATCTTGTCATCGTCCTATGATACACCAGAAAAAAAAATTAGAGTAATTCTCATAAAAACAATATTTATATCATGGTTATGCAACTCAAACTGCAGAATATATAAAGATAAATTTCACAGTCCAAAGCACAAATAAACTGTAAGAGAAATCCTAATTTTATATTATGAATTTCTTTCTTATATAAATAACTTTTGGAAGAAAAGCTCAGCAATATCAAGCCCTTTAAAGGAGCAGTATTTCTGAGCAAATTTTATTCCTGGACTTATTTTATCTTACATCAACTTTGTCAGTCTTGTTGGTTCAATCCCCACTGAACACTATTAGGGTGCTTGTATTCAGAATCAGCACAAATACATTAACACCAAAATTTTAATTATACAAGTACAGTGAGATTAACATACCACCATTACAAAGACATTATTAAAGAAATCCTCAAGTGGCTGTATTAACTGACATGAAGTTTCTACAAAATCATCTATGTCAAGACCTGCACAAAGAAAATTAAATATCATAATAAAGAAAATGAAAAAGAAATTCAAAATTGTATAAAAGAAAATTAGTTATATTAAATTTAGTGTCAAGTTAAAAAAAATTAAATTGCATTGCATAAATATAAAAGGCCATTATACTAGCAGATAATACCAACTATATACGCATAATTGCTGGACATATAGAAAAACATACCAGGATTGATACTCTTTTTAACAGACAAAAACGTGTTCCATAAAACGCGCTCTTCATCTGTCACAAAAGCAGCCTCATCCACCTAATCATGTAAGTTTAAGCATCAAAGAGAAAATAAATGTCAAAATAATAGACATGGTAGAAGGGGAAAAAGCAGAAACTACTCATATAAATAAATGGTTCATTGTAGAGATATGTTTTTCTGTTAGTCAGTTATAGTTTACACGTCTTTGATGTCTGACATCTCTCTCTCTCTCTCTCTCTCTCTCTCTCATATATATATATATATATATATATATATATATATATTGTAACAGAGTTTCATCACTTTTGTGCTCGAGTTTATAAAAAGTTGTAATCATAGTCCTCCCTTTCGATTATTAAATTTATTTCTAGATCTTGTGACTTTTATTCTATGCATAACTCATAAGATTTGAGAGTAATTTGGTTGCCTATTTATATTTACAATGTAGTAAAATAAGAAAAATGCATACCTCCGTCTGGAGTTCATCTTCCTTCCCACGGACAATTCTAGTTGGCCGGGAGTATGCTTCAACAACTTTGGGAAAAAGTTTCCCTCTTGACAATTCTTCCATCTAAATTAAAATTATAAATATCAGGAGAATATAATTACTTTTCAAAAGTACTAGAGACTTGGCATTCAGCAAACCAAATATTTCCGATATTTCAGGAACACGTGACCACTCATATTACAGTCACATTTGGTCTTTAATTTCTGACATGAATAGTTACTTTCTTTTATAGAAATTGTATGTTGTATCCCCTGCTAAACCAAGAATCTAAGACATGTCCGAAGGTCTGTTCGGAGGAAAGAATTTCAATTTTGGTTTAGAGTTCTAATTTGAATTCCAAATCTGTAATTCCAATTTTGAGCTGAATTAAAATTCTATTATTTGAATAGTTTTAAAAAGAATATCTAAAATTTAACTTAATAATAATAATAATAATAATAATAATAATAATATTAATAAAATAAGACGAGGGATCAACTGACTACAAAAATAAGTGTAAGGAAATTATTCTCATCCTCACCATTCATTGTTTTGTAATCTAATGATCTAACATAGTAACTTATTTTAATTATTAGATTACAACAAAAATGAAGGATAGGAATGGGAATAATTCTCTTATACTCTTGGGGGGTAGAGTACTTCGTTTCGTATAGTTATGAACAAGGGAGACATTTCGAAGTGTTCGAACTACATAAGGATAAAACTCATGATTCAGACTAAGAAATTGTGGGTGGAGTTGATTGAACATGAATTAAGATACTCGAACTTCAGAAAATCAATGTGGTTGTATACCACAAGGTCTACAACGATGAAAAGGCACCACACCAAAGAAAGACACCTACACATGTTTTTTGTTATTGGATTGGATTGGAAAGGAAACTCTAGGAGGTGAGACTAAGGACCTTCCTACAAGGATAGAATTACGTTAGGGCTCATTAATCTAGTCTCGGATGTGTTTACTGGAAGCATACAAAAGATGATCATTAATTGCATGCTTTTTGTATATGAAATGATTTGGATTGTGGAATCAAGAAAAGAGATTAACTCTAAACTTAGACTTTGGAAACTGACTTTGGAATCAATAGACTATACATCAATGCTTATATCAAATATGGAGTAAAATGAAAGAGCAATTCTTACTTTGTATGCTGATTTTGCTGCCAGACAAGGAAGATTTGCTCTTTCTACAAGGATTGACCGAACAAATTCTGCACGCACCCCCTTGTCAACCTGTTAACAAAATATAGCAGCATGATAAAAGTCAGCAGACCATTCTCAGAATCAGAGCATTATTACAAAGCATTATGCACAAATACTACAAGACATGTACTCGGCATATGTTCCATAGGCAAATATATCATTGAATAATAGTTGGTTCGCAAAACATCAGTTATCCAACCATAGTAATTGTTATATTTATTAGATATTAAATAGACAGTTGTTAGATTTAATAGATATTAAATAGACAGTTGTACCTAGGTTCTAGAAGCTAAGCTGGATCTTTATCTGTACCTAGTTTTTAGAATAGGTCTTTTCATTTTCCCTTTATTCATTATGTCTGAACATCCATTATAAATAAGAAAACCTAAGAGAGGGAGTTTAAGCTATCTAATTACATTTTTTTTTTAATCTTAAGTTGGTATCAGAGCAGGTTAATCCCGCTTTGCCTTTTGGGAAAAAAGCCCAAAACATCTTTACAAATGATATCCAACGCCTTTATGATTATGCAAATCAACTAAACTCCATCAAACATGCAGATAATGATATGATATCCTTTATTGCTGAAGCTCAATCAACAGTTGAAGAATTGAAGATTTTATTGGAAAAAGATTCAATAGAAAAAATTAAAGAGTAAACTAGATAAATTTTAAATGATTATGATTCTCCAGGCCATGAATCTAGATTTTGTTCATGTTAGAGATCAAATCTTAACTCTCAACTATAACTATCAAATGTATCTTTTTAGGATATTCTTGTCTCCGAAAAGGATATCACTCTTACTCTCCTGAAACTTAGAAATACTATATGTCAGTCAGTGTCACATTTTTTTAATCATCACTTAATACCACAACTCTTGATATTTGTTCTACTCGTAATCCACTTAGAAAATTGTTGGTTGTCGATGAGTCTATACTATTAAGGTCAGACCTAACGGTGAAGTTGACCGTCTCAAAGCTAGATAGGTAACCAAATGATACACTCAAATCTATGGTCTTGATTATGGTGATACTTTCTCTTCAGTGGCTAGAATGACTACTGTGAGACTCTTCCTTGCCATAGCCGCCATTCATCATTGGCCTTTCTATCAACTAGATATTAAGAATTCCTTCCTTCATGGTGATTTAGAAGAGGAAGTCTACATGGAGCAACCTCCAGGTTTTTGTAACTCAGGAGGAGTCTGGTTTTGTATGTAAGTTGAGACGTTTCCTTTATGGTTTAAAGCAATCACTGCGTACTTAGTTTGGAAACTTATTGGTGAAGTTTTCCCTGATCTAGAGAGATATAGAAGACTAGTTAGGAAACTAATTTATATTACTATTAATAGACCTGATCTATCTTTTGTATTTAATGTGGTAAGTCAATTCCTATAAGCCCCTTGTATTGATCATTGGATTGTATTGATCATTGGAATGCTATTATATGTATCCTGAGATACCTAAAAAAGACTTCAAGACAAGGGTTGTTATATGAAGATAAAAGAAATACCCAAATCTCTAGGTATTGTGATATTGATTGGGCAAAATCTCCTATGGGCAGGCGCTCTACTATAAGATATTGTGTTTTTCTTGGAGGAAATGTTATTTCCTGAAAAAGTAAGAAACAAAACGTAGTTGTCTGATCCTTTGTTGAAGTTGAATATAGGGCAATGACATCTCTGCCGTGTGAACTTGTATGGGTGAAACAGTTCCTTCAGGAGCTAAACTTTGTGAGATTCAGAAAATGAAGAAGTATTGTGATAACTAGGCTGCTCTCCACATTGATTTAAATTCATTATTCCATGAGAGAACTAAGCACATTGAAATTGACTGTCACTTTATTCAAAAAAAGTTGTTATCCAAAACAATTTGTATTGAGTTTGATGGATCCAATAATCAACTTGCAAATGTATTACAAAATCTTTGAGAGGGTCTCAAATCGAATTCATTTGTTCCAAGCTTGGTACATATAATTTGTATGCTCCAGCTTGAGGGAGAGTGTTAAATTTATTAGATATTAAATAGACAGTTGTACCTAGGTTCTAGAAGCATGTGTATTTATGAGCTAGATCTTCATCTGTACCTAATTTTTATAATAGGTATTTTCAATTTTCCTCTACTCATTATGTATGTGAACTTCTATTATACATAAGAGAACCCAAAAGAGGGATTTCAGGCTCTCTAATTACATATTTTTCTTTTTTTATCTTAATTGTGATTGTTAAGGTTCCAACATAAAACCAATTAGCAATATGTGGAGTAGCCTAACATGTATTTAAACCATACCAAATGATATGAGGTAGGCGATGTGAGACTTTCAACACACCCCCTCCAACGAAGCCTGCCGGACCAGGCAAAGGGTACTTTTGACCCAACTAAAGGGCAACTTTTGGCCCATGACAATAACCGGAAAGATGTTAGGCTTTGGCTCTGATACCATGTTAAGGTTCCAACATAAAACCAATTGGCAATATGTGGAGTAGCCTAACATGTATTTAAACCATACCAAATGATATGAGATAGGCGATGTGAGACTTTCAACAGTGATGATACAATGAGGAAAAAACTACAAGGTATAGAACTTGAGTCCCACATTAGAAGTTCGGATTCTGGTGTGGGGGTAGTTTTGTGGTATGATTATTTCCCGGTTGCTATAAATTGGTACGTATGCACCATGTCTCTCATCTACAACTAGCAGTGCAATGTGTAGTATGGCAGGATGTTAGGTTGTAATCCCAAGGTTGTAATCAAAAGAAAGAATATACCAAGTGATAACTCATTAAATTTCTGATCTGTAAGACTGCAACAAATATTCACTTCAAAACCTCCTATAACTGGTGCTAATGATTCTTTCTCTCCCTAACTCATACAACAATCTACATCAATCTACATCTGTAAGATCCAACAATATGATACGTATTAGATATATCTAGTAATTAGTTTATGTGTAAAGTCCTTGCTGTTCTAAATAAGCAGCAATTCAAGCGGTAAATATGGTTTAGAGTTTATATAAAATATTATTTCTTCGCAAAAAATAATCCAATCAAACTGCTATCAAACCATTTATACCTTGTTTTGCTAACAGAACAATAGGTAAACAATGGACATATATCCTCCAGCAGAAACCTTAAGCTTTTACAAGTTAATTTGGCCATAAAGGAAGAAAGAAAATTCTTTCAACTAAAAGATAACAACATGAAAAGTTTCACTCAAGAAAAGGACCAAATATTATGATCATAATACCTACCAGAAATTGCTCTAATCTTCGAGTAACAAATTGATGTACCTAAAGAAAGAGAAAACTGTTCTCAGCAGATTTCAATCACAAGAAGCAAGCAGAAATTGAATTTATGGAACACTTTTATCTTACATCATCAATTACATGAGAATCTACTTTAATGGGCTGGACTTCTGCAGCAAGTTCCAGGGCCTTTTTAAAATCTAGAGTTTTATTCTTTTCCACAAATAGTTGCACCTGGAGTATAAAGTCCATCTCAGAGTGCAAGAAATTGACTCTATAGAATTTCTACTTAAGATTTTAGGGGTGGGGATACAAAAGTAGAAAAGAACATGAACAAAACTTAGACAAATGAAAGTACGTCATACTTACAAGACCATATGAGATTCTTCGCAGACCAAACGGATCATTTGTGGAACTCGGTTGACAACCAGCAGTAAATAAACCTACCAGGCTATCTAATCTGCACAAAACTATCATTTCTCATAAGATGCCGAGCTATGTCGTCAAAGTCAATGGAATGTACCATACGACATTGCAATGTCATTTCAAACCTACCAGGCTATCTTATCTCTTACAACACGTACCATAAACTCATTTCACATTGCAATGTGTTAGAGATATGCCTTTGTAATGTCTTTTCTTTTATTATTTCCGAACAATTGTCTGTTACTATAATTGTTTGACAATTGTAGTTTGTTACAACTGTTTTGCTACCTATTGTAGTACTCTCCTCTACTCATGTAATTAATATGGCTTTTTTTAAGAGGTTTACTCAATATTTGTAACACTCTTTAGTAGTGAATCATAATTTTGGACAGATTTAATATGGTATTCAGAGCTAGTTGATCCTCTTTCTTGGCTTCTGCCTAATTTTTTGATTCTATGGCATTCATAGATTCTAAATCTTCTTGTCCTCCTCCAATCCCTCCTCCTTCAACAGATTCTTATCCTTCTTTTTCTCTGCCTGCACTTGTCCCTTTCTCCCATCAAATTACAAATAAGTTTGATGATAAAAATTTCTTGCTGTAACACCAGCAAGTTGAACTTGTAATTAAAGCCTCTCATTTTCTTCACTTTGTGGTTGCTCCTAAAATTCCACCAAGTTTCTCAGAGAATAAGATTGGGATGTTAATCATGTCAATCCAGAATATCTTTCTTGGGAACAAGATCAAATGGTTCTTACATGGCTCCAGTCTTCACTTTCTAGTACTATCTTGTCAAGTATGGGACAAGATACATGCATATTTTCTTCATCAAACTAAAACAAAGGCACAACAATTGTGTTCTGAGTTAAGAAAATTATCTTTGGATGATTGCATAAGTTAGTGAATTTCTTTCTTATAGTAAGTCTTTTAGTGACTCTATTCTGTTGGAGATCCCGTTTCTTTAAAAGAACATTTGGATTCAATTCTTGAAGATGTTCCTCAAGAATATGATTCTCTTATTGCTCTTATTGAGAGCAAAACTAATAATATGACTATTGAAGAATTGCGTTTACAAAATTATAATGCTCAAGCTCCATTTGCTCCTTCGACACATGTTCTTGGTCAACAATCAACTCCTTCTGCAAACATCCTTGACCAACAGTTTCAACATAACAATATTGAACAAAATATGCAGTTTCAATACACTGGTTTTCATGGTGCTGGACATCGTCGTGGAGGCCACTTTGGTCATAGTGAAAGAGCATGTGGTGTCTGCGCGTCAAGTTTGCTTCAAATATGGTCATACTGCTAGGTTTTGCTACCACAGGTTTAGTTTTGAATTTCAATAATCTTTTATGCTTCTTCCTCTATTACGCCTTGGGAAAATCCATCCACTGTATGTCTTTATTTTTCAACATCACATTGGCCTCAATAGTCTCATAGTCCTTATCAATATACTTGTCTCCCTCAACCACAAGCTATGGTTACAAATAGAACACCTTCTCCATTTCAAACCTGGTTTCCAGATTCAGGTGTCACCTTTCATGTAACAAATTCCAGTCAAAATATACAATAAGGTACTCCGTATGAAGCACCTAATCAAATTTTTGTTGGCAATGGGCAAGGTCTTCCAATACTTTCTTCTGGTTCTACCACTTTTTCTTCTCCCCTTAATTCATATATACATTTAACTCTGAAAAATCTTTTACATGTTCCTTCAATTAACAAGAATTTAATTAGTGTGAGCAAGTTTGCTCAAGATAATAATGTCTATTTTGAATTTTTCCCTAACCATTGCATTGTTAAATATCAGGAATCCAATGAAATCATTCTTATGGTCGTGTGATGGGCTGTATCATTTTCATGCCTTCACTTTATGCCACAATTTTTTTTTTTTTGTTTCTTTCAATTCTTGTATTAATTAATACTACCGTTTCTAATAATTGTACTGCTAGCAGTACCTATGCTTGGTATCTTAGGTTAGGACATCCAAATATCAATGTTCTAGTTGTTGCTCTATGAAATTGTAATATTTCCTTTTCTAATAAAAGGTTCTATGCCCTTTTGTTCTGCTTGTTGTATGGGCAAAACACATAAACTTTCTTCTTAAACTTCCTCAACTATCTATGAATTTGGGTATTTACATAGTGACTTGTGGGGACCTTCCCTTGTTCCTTCTTCTAATGGCTTCTCCTATTACATTTCTTTTGTGGATGTTTGTAAGAGGTTTATGGGTTGTGTAAGAGGTTTACTCACTCTTTGTAACTCTCTTCAGTAGTGAATCATAATTCTGGACAGATCTAATACAATGAAGAAAGTTCTATAGTAAAAATAAGAATATAAGGAATTAGAGGAAACAGGAGTCCGTCAGGGATACAATAGCATTGCTGATTCTTTTGTCAATGTTAGAATCAGGATAAAGAAAAGTTATATCGTCGAAGTTGTTAGGATGTTTTACTGATCTTATTCATATCCTTCTCATTTCTTTGCTATCATTCCTTATCTTTTTAAGTTTGAATTTGAATTGTAATCAGATTGGTTAGAAAATATCTAATCAACTCAGCCAATAAATCTCAATCACTGTAAATCAGTATTATCTCTAAAATAAACAGTTAAGATATTTATTTCTGGCCTCAGTTTCACCTATCAGCAATTGCCAAAACTGTGCCAGCATCACTTTCAGGAAGCAAGTCCCCAGAAAATCTAGGAAGCGTGATCTCAAACAATGCCTCTGCAATCTGCAAGATAATGTGTCAAGCAAAAGCAAAATTATGTACAGAAACTATGTGCCTTGCACCCAAACAGGGTGCAATGAAATCGTAAAGATTGCAATGGAGAAACATGATATTTTAGATTACCAAATATAGCCAACCAAAGTTAAACAACCTGCTCAGAGTATCCGTTTCTAAGGGCATAGTGACGCCCCATGATTCCCGAAAGTGAGGTAAATTCAGTGACAACTGCAGTGGAAAGATCAGACATTGCAAGTGAGGCAGCATCTCGGATAATTTGTTGAACATCTCCATTGATATCTAGGATGCAACTTAGTTCGGTAAGCATGTTTTCAACACGAGTCATCTTATCAAGCATGGTCCCAAGCTTCTCCTGTTTCATTTCCATATTATCGAAACCAACAAGATATATCGAAACCAGAGGTTAAGAGATATATTTTCAACAACTTTCACATAATACCATTATTGTTGTAAGTATTAACTTTTCCCTTATTTTCTTCTGAATATAAACACTGAACTGATATTTTACCTGATTTAGAAGAACTGATAATGGAAAATAAAAAAAAACTGGTGAATGATAAATGCCAATTCATTAAATTTTCAAATTAAAAAAATTCTTTTATATATATTTTGGTTAATATGAGCTTTACACAGATAAAAGTTTAATTTGCAACTCACGTGAAAGAGAATGTTTTTAAGTTGCTTTCGAAATTCTGAAAACTTTTTACGAGTGTCCATCTCATAAAAGAATTTCGCATCTTCATAGCGAGCCCTGCAATTATAATCAAAAGAGATTTTAATGTGACTTCCCCATAAAAGTAAAATCATGAGATGTGCACGTTACATTGGGCAAATATGTTAATTTTATTCTTAGGAATTAAAGAAACGGTGGCACTCTCCTTCCCTCCCTTCAATGTAAGAGATCACCATCTCTAATGGCCAAGACAGTTGAGGCTATATCTCATTATCTTCTCAGATTATTCCAGAAGCTTAGGTTGTCAGGTGAAAACACATGAAAAGTTTTATGTAACATCTCTAGTGTGACCTATCATAGTATCACATGAGCCTTTTGGGCTTGGAGTGTAGAATGTAGACGGCACACAGGCCAACCTACCCTCTGCTGAATCATTAAATTGGCAGAAAGAATGGAGAGTGGTGAGAACTGAATTATAAGCCACAACCACATTGTTAAAGAGGCACCAATATCATTTCAAAAACTAACTATCTGAAGAGCTTAAGCTGTTAGGAGAACACAAATGAATGGTTTTATATTCCAACAATAAAATATTTAAAATGAACAGAAAAAAACAATATTGTGTAACTTCAGATAAAGGCTTACTCCAATACCATTTCTTCCCAGGTATCGGTACCTTGTTTCAAATATTGTGGTTGCTTGTTCTCACAATGAATGTATGGAGTTCACTAAAGATGTAAGATTATACAAAGGTCAGCTAATAGCTTAAGCTTTTGGGCTGGTTGGTCCTTAACATGGGATTAGAGCCTTTGTGACCAAGTAGCTAAGAGCTTCATTCTTCTAAATGATGTAAATTTCAGCACAAACTATAGTGGAATTGCCTATTTTCTCAGCTTCAAGACTAATTTATTAAGATAAAACCATTAATGTATCTTCACCTATAGCTTAAACATTACGGAGAGTTTGTCCTTGACAGAGAAGCAATAAAATACAACCAATAACTAATTAATGTTTGACAACTTATCAAGGACAGCAATACCCTAGAAGAACCTGGATATCGTAGCACCTCTATTTCAATAAGCTGTATATGACACAATAAGTTGACATAAGAATACCTGAGCACAGCTTCATTTCCTTTCCTTACCGTAGTCTCATCAATTGATCCATTTGCAACCTGAGAAAATCCCTTGTCATTTAATACATAGAATTTCAAAACATGAAGTTATTTATTCTAGAAGGCTAATTAATGAAAAGAACTTACAGCAATGAAATAAGGCAATAACTGTCCATTTGCATCGCATACAGCAAAATACTTTTGATGCTTTTGCATTACCTGCAGGCATGGCAAGGGTTAGCTTCTATTTGCAATATTCTTCAAAAACTGGAGGAATTTATATATGTTTCGACTCATAAAGACCCAACCAATCAGTACAATCAAGAATGGATTAAGTTAGACGAGCTGAAAATCTCACTACTAGTTTGGCTTCATTTTGTTATTGGGTTTAATTGCAATATTTTCAGTCACAGATAGAAAGCATTTTGAATAGGGTCCTAATATCTAGAATTTAGCTGTTTATGGGTCTTTCACTTGGACTTAATCGTGGGAGGTAATAATACTATTTAGGGTTCATTTATGTTAACTAGAAGCTGGTCGCTAACTTGTGAACTACTCAATTCCCATATTGGACTAGTCATATAAACGTGATGTAACAAGCAGCTATGAAAGTAACAAATCAGTGATAGAGAAAACTGTTTTACAGGAACACCCTAATCATCACGCAGGTAAAAGCTTCAGGTTACTTTTCTTTTACAATCTTATATATATATATATCACAACGGTTGGTGCTTTAACCCACTAAATTGGTCAACTGCAAACTACTGAATTTGTCATGGTTTTACTGATGACAGCTTCAAGTTATATAAACTTCATCACTGCTCTCCTCACATTCCTCGGTAATTTCATGCAAATTCTTTAACATCCGACATATTTTTTAACAAAATTTGCTTTATTTACAATTTTTATCAATTTTAACTATCATTTTATCTTAACTTATAATTTTACATAACTTATGATTTTATATATTTTGTTATTAAACATATTATATAATATTGGAAAATACATACATAATTACCACTATTTTGAACACTGTTAGACGAAAATAAATCAAGAATCAGTGCCTTACTTTGTACAACTATTGGTCTGATTTTAAAAGCAATAGCATTTTCAGTTCCTGTATAAGTACCCCAATACAGATAATTTCCTTACAATTTAAAACGTTATCAACAAAAAAAAAAAAAAAAAAAAAAAAAAAAGTGAAGTGCTCACCATGGTCAAAAGATCTTTCGGAAGATCTAAGAAGGTTTCTTTAAACTTTCCAAGCACGGGAAAAGGTGCCTCAACAAGATTTACAACCTATATTAAATATAAAATGAAATTCTTAGAAATGCACATTGCAACAATGTTAATCAAAAGGAACAACAAATTCTTACCTCATCAAGCAAACCTTTTGGTATAAGAATTTGACCATTTACACTTTTTGCCAATGCATTTGATTGCTCAAAAATAATTTTCTTACGGTCCTGCCAAAAGTACCAATCTAATTATTTAGATATATTTGTAATTACATATGTATGTATGTATGTATGTATATATGAATTTTTATATTAACAACTTATCCATTTGTACCTCGACTGAAACATCGATTCCCACATTTTTCATTGTAACTGAATAAGATTCTGCACTTTCCACCTGCAATTAGTATAGCAGGGTTTTTTGGGTAAAAGAAATGGTAAGGGTTCCTTCTTAAATAAACAAAAGGAAACAACAGCGAACAAGGAAAAAATATAGTATGGAATCTGTTATATTGACCACCCATACTAATGTAAATATATTTCTCCAAAAATACGCCAATCATCCCACCTCAAGGTACGAAAACAACATGCACACCAATAAACCTGAGTAGAATAGCCAAAAACTAAAGCAAACAAAAACAGCAAAAAATTAACTTACTAACTCAACAACCAAATTACATGAATCATTGTATACCATTTTGTTCTAACAAAAGCCAATTCTTTAGAGAGGTTGTTTAGATAGCAATACTTTTATATGGTTTCACCTAAAGTTTATCGGACTTCATTTACTCTAATTATTGGGCTATCCTCCCTTTGATCAACCCTTCTAGCTAAGGCTTCTACTGGTCTTCTTCTCACATGTTCAAATCATCTTAAGCATGATTCTACCATCTTTACTTAAAGAGGGGCCACCCCAACTTTCTCTCTAATACATCCACCAAAATCTCATCATCTCTATAGAACTGATGTTCTGGTTAGAACTTTAGCACTCAACATTCTGTAACATATCCCACTGCACATTGGTCCTACGGCCATGTGGTCAAAATTTCTTTGTAGTTTTAGGTTTAGAGGCATCATTCTATCACAAACGTTCATCTCATACTCAAGCTTAAAACTTATGCTTAACATCTCCCTATAATTTCTTATTAAGAAATAAATGTTCTAAATTTACCTGAGTTAACATGTTTCTTGCATGTGATGGGCAGTATAATACATTAGCACAGGAAAAATTCCATAGATTCACTGTCACATTTTTTCTGGCAAGTTTAATAACATCATTTATGTCTTGGGTTTATTAGAGATTTACTATCATTATCTATAGATACATTTTATACTTTTTCTGGGTACACAAATATAATTTTGAATCTAATGAAAATAGCTGTGTGAATTTCTCCTGTCAATTAACTCATATTTTAATATTCTCTGCCCTTATTCATGTCAGATTTAATAATTTCTCTTCGTAAAGCTGTGATCTTGAACCATTCGTATATAATGGAATTATTAAGAACTAATGTTAGTGTTACTACACACATACAGAATCAGACAGACACACATTCAGACAGATATTGCTCAGAGATATATGTTGTTTCAACCATGTACCAATAAAAAACGATAGAATAAAAGTGAGAATGTTAAAGAAAACAGGCTTAATTTGCAGTTCTACAGAAAATTGATTCAGGTATGCACCTGGACAACAGCTGAAGAAGTATTACGAAGACCACAAGACAAGTTTCCACTGCATAATATAAATAAACACAGGCAAATGTTATTCTCGCCTATCAGATAGGAAACTAATAAACCAAAATGAACTTAATATACTTAAGCGTAAGCTAGGCCTTGGAATAAGCGACCAAGATATTATTTCCTTTTTTTTTTCTTCTTAGATCAGTATTTTACTTTTGGTATTTAGAAATCTGAAGCCTCACTGCTCATGATATTCTTGTTTCTGATAACAATCTTCAGTAAAATAAAAACACCAAGGGAGGATAAGTGAAGAGAAAAGAAGGGTTCTGTTAGAATAGATTAGAAAATATATGTAATCATTATATCTAAGGTAGGAGGTTGAGTGTTAGATAATCTCTGCAGGGGGTTGAGTGTTAGATAATCTCTACACCTAGTTCTGAGGAGTAATCTAGGACTGTGCATTTAATGTAATCTCCCTATTGTATCAGTTTTTATCTATATAAATAGAGAACTATGAGAGGGGGGGTTCTTCAAGCCCTCTAAAAACACTTTTTCTCTGTTTTGAATATCAAGTTGGTAACAGAGCGGGTCGATCCCGCTCTGCCTGTTTCTGTAGTCTCCGACACTATTTTTGCCGCCGTCCACCGCCGCCGGCCACCGTCTCCGGTCATCAAGTTTTCGCCGGTGACCACCGGATCTGAATCATCTTGCCGTGCGACAGCCAACCCCGCCGGTCCTGGAAGCTCGTTTGCTGCCACGCACCGCCTCTTTCTTTGCTGCATCTGGCGCGTGTCATCCACACGCCGCCTTCTCCAAGTCGGAACGTCGCTGCTCTGCCTCAGTTAGGGTTGTCGGAGCTTCCTCTCCCTGTTCTAGCCCTCAGAACTTCATTTCGGTGAAGCCCAGTAGTCACCCTTGCGAAAATCACTCTTGGGTTTTCGGACTTCCTTACTGTTTTCGCCCCCCTCACCAGTCTTTGTCCTCTTGATCAGAAATGACTGCAATTTCATTCTCTGGAAGCCCCTCCATTACTTCCGAAAAACTAAACGGACAAAATTATCTATCTTGGTCTGCTACCGTCGAAATGTGGTTTCTCGGTCACGGGCATCACGACCACCTTGAAAAAGACGGAAGCCATGTGCCGGAAGAAAAAGTCGAACAGTGGATACAGGCAGATTTTCAGCTATGTGCTCTATTGTGGCAATCAGTGGAACCAAGACTTTTGATGTCGCTTAGAGCCTTAAAAACTTGTCACTCCTTTTGAAAGAAAGCTCAAACCATTTATGCCAATGATATCCAACGTCTCTATGATTCCGCAAATAAGCTAGCATCTCTAAAAAAGACAGATCATGATATGATGTCTTTCATGAATGAAGCCCAATCGGCTGTGGAAGAACTAAAGATGTTCTTGGAAGTCGATTCCTTGGATGAAATGAAAAAGAAGCTTGACAAGTATTACATTGTGATGATCCTTCGCGCAATACATCCTGACTTTAACCATATCAGAGATCAACTTTTGACCACTTACGAAGTCCCTTCCATGGATACCCTTATCACACGCCTGATTCGTGTACCAATGCCTGAGACTCAGAAAGCTCTTGCTCTAGTAGAACCATCTGCCATGGTTGCCACACGAGGAAGAAGAGGACGTGGCACTAGAGGAGAAGGACGTGGAGGTCGAGGACGTCCCCAAGGCACCTATTGTAAGAGGATAGCTCATACACAAGAGAACTACTACTCCTTGCATGGTTTTCCTCCCAAAACCGCCAATGTCTCGAAGGTTGAAACTATCAACTCCAAGTTCACTGAGGACGAATACCAAGAGTATCTACGGTTGAAGTCTAATAGCTTGGCACAGACCTCTCAAACTGCCAGCACATCAACTGCTTGCATTTCTCAATCTGTGGAGGGTCAAAATTCATGGGTAATTGACTCTGGTGCTTCTGATCATATATCTGGTAATACCTCCTTGTTCTCAACCATTTCCTTTCAAGAAAAACAACATTTCATAACCCTTGCAGATGGCTCTAAAGCTTCCTCAAAGGGAGTGGGCCAAGTTTCCTTATCTCCTTCCATAAGCCTAAAATTTGTCCTTTTTGTTCCTAATTGTCCTTTCAATTTAATTTCCTTAAGCCAGTTAACCAAAATCTTAAATTGTTCAATAACCTTCGATAACAAATCTTTTGTTATACAGGAGCGTGGTTCGGGGAGACGGATTGGAGAAGGATATGAAGCTGGAGGATTATACCTTTTTGGCCCTCGTCTACGTGTGTCCTGTGTTGCTACTCCGAGCCCTAAAATGTTACATGATCAGCTTGGCCATCCTCATTTGTCAAAATTAAAAAGAATGTGTCCTGAACTTAGTGGTCTCCAGACCTTAGAATGTGAGTCATGTCAACTAGGAAAACATGTTAGATCTACATAAAATGTCTCAATCAAAGTGTACTTCCAGTTTCTCTATTATCCATTCTGATATTTGGGGACTCAGTCGCATCTCATCTTTTGGTTTTTGGTATTTTGTTACATTCATTGATGAATATTCACGATGTACTTGGGTTTATCTTATGAAAGATCGCTCTGAATTGTTACCCATCTTTACATCCTTTTTGAATGAAATAAAAAATCAATTCGGTCAAGTAATCAAAATTTTAAGAAGTGACAATGCTGAAGAGTACTTCTCATCCACCTTTTCTGTTGTTTTGAGTTCACATGGAATATTGCATCAGTCCACCTGTCCTCATACACCACAACAAAATGGTATAGCAAAAAGAAAAAAACAGACATTTGGTTGAAACTGCACATACTCTTTTGCTGGGTGCTCATATTCCTGTCCATCACTGGGAGATGCCATCTTAACTGTATGTTTTCTTATTAACAAGATGTCATCTTCCTCTCTCAGTAATAAGATCCCTTTCTCCATTCTATTTCCAAATAATCCTCTCTTTCACACCTCTTCTCGAGTTTTTGGTTGTGTATGTTTTGTTCATGATATGTCTCCAGGGTTAGACAAGCTTTCTGCTCGTGCTATCAAATGTATCTTCTTGGGCTATTCCTACCTTCAAAAAGGGTATCGGTGTTACTCTCCTGAAACCAAGAAGTACTACATGTCTGCCAATGTTACATTTTTTGAACAAACTCCTTACTTTTCTCCTTCTGTTCAAGATGTTCATGTCATACAACAGGTTCTTTCCATTCCAGTAGTTGAGTCTAATATTTCCAATGTCTCTATCGATCTCAGTCATGATCCAAGTCTTCCTGAACCATCCTCCCCTCAAATTGATGTTGTCAATCATAGGACCCCGATGGCTAGTCTTGTTCTCCAACAAGAGGGTGAATCCCCCACTTTAGATTTTTCTCCAACATCGCTTCCTACCATGACTCTTGGTGGAGGTGATTCAGGATGGCTCATTACTCTCAGAAAAGGTACTCGTTCCACTGGAAACCCACATCCTATTTATAATTTTCTTAGCTATCACAAATTGTAGCCTTCCTATTGTTCCTTTTTATCCTCAATGTATCTTCTATTTCTATTCCAAGAAATGCAGGCTCTTGACCATAATGCTACTTGGGAGCTCGTGCCTCTTCCACTGGGCAAAAAGGCAGTTGGTTGCTGCTGGGTATATGCTGTTAAAGTCGGCCAAGATGGTACAGTTGATCGGCTCAAGGCTCGGTTAGTTGCAAAAGGGTACACTCAGGTTTATGGCCTTGATTATTGTGACACTTTCTCTCCCGTGGCCAAGATGACCACTATTCGTCTGTTCTTCACAATGACTGTCATTCGTCACTGGCCACTTCATTAATTAGATATCAAAAATGTCTTCCTACATGGTGATCTTGAGGACAAAATTTACATGGAGCAACCTCTTGCGTGTTGCTCAGGGGGAGTCTGGACTGGTATGCAAATTGCATCGTTCTATATATGGCCTCAAGCAATCACCACGTGCTTGGTTTGGAAAATTTTGCTCCATTGTTCAAAAATTTGGGCTAAGACGCAGCAGATCATTCAGTCTTTTATTGTCATACATCTTTGGGTAAATGTGTTTACTTAATAGTATATGTTGATGATATAGTCATTACAGGAAATGATATTGTTGGAATATCTCAACTGAAGGGGTACTTGTGCAGACATTTTCAAACCAAGGATTTGGGAAGCCTAAAAAATACTTCTTGGGCATTGAAGTAGCTCAATCAAAAGATGGAGTTGTAATCTCTCAGAGAAAATATGTTCTTGATATATTACAAGAAACAGGTATGATTGACTGTAGACCTGTAGAGAGTCCTATGGACCCAAATAAGAAATAGACATTATTGGGGAGATGTAGTTCTCAATGCTTGTTTCTTATTAATCGGATGTCATCTTCCTCTTTTAAAAATCAAATCCCACATATAGTTATCTTCTTAGATGATCCTCTTTATCATATATCTCCTCGTGTGTTTGGTTGTACCTGTGTTGTTCATAATGTTGCTCCAGATCTTGATAAACTGAGTGCTAAGGCCTTTAAATGTGTTTTCTTGGGATACTCTCGCCTTCAGAAAGGGTATAAATGTTAGTCTCCATCCTCCAAAAGGTATTATATGTCTGTTAATGTCACCTTCTTTAAGAAAACACCCTTCTTTTCTTCCCCATGGAAGATGGTTCATCCATTCAGCAATATCTACCTATACCTTCATGAGATCCACTTATAATACCTGATCCTTCCCTAATTCAGCCTACATGTCATAATGATTCTACGCTTCTCACATATCACCGCAGGACCCCTCCTACACCTTTACCAGTTCCTACAGATAATCGTGATTCAGATTCTTCTCCATCAGCTTCTCATACTATGGATCCTTCAACCTTATCTCCCACTTCTGATTCTGGATGACCTATATCACTTAGAAAAGGTACTCATTCCACTCGGAATCCTTATCCTATTTATAATTTTTTAAGTTACTATCGTTTGTCTCCATATTCTGGATGAAGTTGTTTTGTGATAATCAGATAGCTCTTCATATTGCCTCCAACCCAGTGTTTCATGAAAAAACAAAGCATATTGAGATTAATTGTCATTTTGTTTGAGAGAAGTTATTATCTAAGGAACTTGTAATTTTATTTGTAAGCTTCATTGAGCAACCTACAGATATTTTAACTAAATCCTTGAGAAGACCTAGGATTCAATTTATATGCTCTAGCTTGAGGGGGAGTGTTGAGATATGTTTTTCATCTATTTTTTGTATTCTCTTTATAAGTTCTTTAGTCTAGGGTTAAGGGTTTGAGATTAGGCCCATATCCTCTCTATTGTTTCTCCTTTTCTATAAATAGAATGTAACAGTGCCTCTTGGTATTGTATCAAATTCTAAATAAGTTATCTCAAATACATGTTCTCAATATCTGCTCTGGCGATTAAAGTGATTTCAGTCAATGGAGGGAAGGGAAAAGTTGAAATTGAGTGACTTGGGTAGGCCCATGTTTGACATTGATGGGTGTGGTTGTATTGGGGCCAGAACTTGGGAAGAAAGGAGTTTGACTGTGTGTGTCAGTTGGGTTCGTGTGGGGTGGGAAGGTAGGATTTGGGCTGAAAGGGTTGATGTGTGAGCCTGTGGTGAGTAAGACGTGTGGTGGTGCGGAGTGACCATTGGGGAAATATTAATTACACATTATTATGTATTAATGTGATTATTATATATTAATACATGAAAATTTATAAAATTGTCTCAATAGTAGAATGTACAACACCTATAATTGAGAAAACCATTAAGCAATGCAATTCAACCGAGACTGCAATTTAAAAACCTTGCTTAGTATTATTTTCTATCATTTATCTTCCTCTCTAATTAGCTAACTGTTAAAACCAGTAAGCACGTCTTTAATTGGTGATCTGGTAACAGTTTTTAGTTCAGAAGACATGGAAACAATTATGAGTACGAATACTACTCTTTAAGTTGAAATGATGTCTATGACCTAAAAGGCTGAAAGTCCAGTATAACCCAAGGTCAAGGAGAGAGCAAAGTAGAGATAATATCCAAAAAAAGAATAAATTACCTTGTCACCCCAGCAAACATAAATGGGACTACTACATCTCCATGCAAGGCTAAAATCCATCGAATAGGCCTGCTAAACATCACCTGTATATTAAAAGTATGGAAACATATTAATTTATGTAACCAGTTATTTCCTTTGCTCAAAATTAAAACCACATGATAGCATATATAATTTTCAATTATTTATAACTTCATGCAGCAGAGGAAGTGCTTTCTCCAATGTTCCTGAGGCAAAACATTCACTCCTTTTTGCTGCTTCTAGTATGACTATTCTATGTCAACAGTCAAACTCGAATGCCCTCAAGACACTAGTTAAGGAAACGAAATATTTGATGAATGTTAAGGTTCCAACATAAAACCAATTGGCAATATGTGGAGTAGCCTAACATGTATTTAAACCATACCAAATGACATGAGGTAGGCGATGTGGGACTTTCAACACGCCCCCTCCAACGAAGTCTGCCGGACCAAGCAAAGGGTACTTTTGACCCAACTAAAGGACAACTTTTGGCCCATGACAATAACCGGAAAGATGTTAGGCTTTGACTCTGATACCATGTTAAGGTTCCAACATAAAACCAATTGGCAATATGTGGAGTAGCCTAACATGTATTTAAACCATACCAAATGACATGAGGTAGGCGATGTGGGACTTTCAACAATGAAAAAAAAAATTTATATTAAAAACACAAATTACTTAATACTTATTCTTTCTAGTAATTGAGAGTATTCAGTGCTTTTTAAACCATATACCCTATTTTTAGTGTACTATTAGCCGTAGTAACTGTTAGCGTGTACTAATCACTATGTTAGAAATGCAATATAAAAATCATTTGCGTGTCTTCACCTAACAACTAAAGCATTTGGAGGTGTTGGTTTGTGATATATCAAAGCCTCTATAATCATGTGATGTATAGTTTGTTTCCCCCATTCTTTTAAGTACTAAAAGTCAAAATTCAGTACCAGGTATGACGGGCAATGGCATGTGCAATGTCCATGTTTCAAGCACACAAGGGCTCTTGCATGAGGGAGTGTTCAATATAAAAGTTATTCATGTATCTTCAGTTCACCCAACAACTTAGCTTTTGGGAGTGTTAGTTACGACAAAAGCAATCTATCATCTGATGTTTTATAATCTATGCTGATGAAGGGCCACGTTGCTAAGATATAACCCCTTAAAAATCCAGCATACCTGAGAATTCCAACGCATTGTCTTTGGAAATGAAATTTTGGCAATGGTAGCAGGCAAATCTTCAGACAAGACCTGATAACAGTAGAACAAAGTTTGCAAGAAGCAGAGAAATAAACCTTAAATGACAAGCTGTAAGAGTTACATCTCAAAACTCTTGTATATCATAGAATGAAACCATGGTCAGAACATTTGAAATACTTGCTTTAAAATAACATTTAAAAACCAAAAGAAAGCAAGACGAGGAAATAAAGAACAAAAACCTCCAAAGCATGTCTTGAAGACTCCTTTATTCGTGCATAAACATATTCTGTTTTCCCTGCAACATCAGGAAACTGAATTGAAGTACCTATTGAAGGACTGAGCCTATGGTACAGAGGTATATTAGCAGGAAAACTGCTGAGTTACACAAATGAAATTACAGAACTTGAAAATCAAATTGAGAGTTCAAAGAGCAAAAATTTCCATTCTAGAAAGCAGCAGCTGAAAACTGTAATGCCAGACTTTCTTTATAATTATTTAATGACGATGATAGGAAACAGAAATAGACCCACTCAACAAGTCTTTCTGCTTCTGAATACGCACCATCAACCTTTCTGTATACCAAGTCCAGTGGAACAGAGTATCTACGAGAAAAACCCTCAATGGCCTGATAAATAATGAAATAAAACGTAAGCACCATTTCATGAACATCAACTTAAGATAAAATGAAAAGCCTCAAGCATAATTAAACCTTTGTTGGATTTCCTTCATGATCAAATGCTTTTGAAACTGGAGGACCTCGAACTTCAACCTCCTTTTCAGCCTGTTTTGCGTATAGATTCTCAACAGCAACCTGTGAAATTCACAATAGGAAAAATATGATTACTGTCATTTCATATATGATGAATTCTAAAGTTTGAATATTTTAAAATGTATGTACTGCAATAACAACACCTAAAGTTCAACTGTTGCATTATGATTCTGTCCACTATTTTAATTTTTTAGTGATACTATCTATCGATTAATCCTGGATAGGAACTATGGCAAATGCTTCACATAAGATTTTACTTTTTATACCAAATATAAAGCGGGTAGGAACAACAACGCTGAGTAATTAAGCGCAATGCAACACATCAAGGAAAAAAGAATTGCATATGAAAGAGAAAGTTTATTCCCGCACCACTAATCTCCGTGGGGTGCCAAATGCTTGAACTGCACCATGGTTTAACCTTTGCCGTTCAAGTAGTTGCATCATTAAGTCTTTCAGCTACAATAACAAGCATAGTAGAATCAATATTAAAAATGATGAAGAATTATCATAATAATTCACAGGAAAAATCATATTAGAAAAGAACAATATTATCTAAAATAGCTCAAACAATTTATATCACATAAAAAGGAAAAAAAAAAACTTGAAATCCAGATGTGAAGTTAATGAAATGATAAATTGGAGTTTACTATATTCATGATTTTTAGTTAATCGAAAACAACTTATACTTGATTACTGGCATCAATGACATCTTGAGGCGGCATCTCTTCAGTCCCAATTTCAAGAACAAATGCTCTTGAATGATCATGCACCTATAACCAGAGAAAAGATAGAATTTTACATTAATATAATATATACATAAATTTGTTGACATTTTTGCATGGTTAAAAATATAATATAACCATTCCCCTGTCTTCACTCTTAACCAAATGGCTTAAGCATTTGGAACAGACATAGTATCAAAGCCATTATATCAAGAGGTTAAAAATTTGAACCTTGTCACCCCCATTCTTCTAATATAAAAGATTAATTTCAACACAAGTTAGGTGGGCCTGTACATTGTCCATACTTCAAACCCAAGAGAGCATGTTAGAAATATAATATATGTCATCCATGTGTTTTTATCACTAGAATGTAGGTTTGGAACCAGCTAGTAAAATGACGGGTGTCTTCCACTTATATACATTAATTTAGTCATAACTCTAGTATATGTAGGATTTCCAGTAAATACTTGTCACACCAACAGCTTGACTTGTCCCGTAAAGTCTGTAGGACTTGATATATGTGAGAAGTCTGATAGACTCAACATCAATAATTAATGTAGACTCTTATACCATATTAAAATGTAAGTTTTGGTGTAACTATGTCCTACAAAACCAACTTGTAAGATAAAGATTATTTCCCACTTATACACTTTAATTTAGTTAAATCTCTAGTATATGTTCAATAACAGCTTAATGTGATATATGGCCTGATAGGAACTCCAAGAACTAATATCTTCAAAGCCTAACGTGAGAGAAGCAATAGTGAATATAGAATTAATTCTCGTTCAATGAAAAGTAGTGGGAAAGTTCCTCTTCACAATGTGGATTACACCCTTCACAACAGAACAAACTCAGTTTCTAACAAATTGTCATAACTTTCACAATACATTTCCACCAGCTTATCTGTCAATTAACACCCCCACCCCAGCCCAATGATATCCATATTGTAACTTCTGACTAACCCATTAAAATTTCTTCTTCCTAGAATACACTTTTCAGACCATATCACCCTCCCCGACACTAAGCTCAATCACATACCTAACAATATCTGCAAGAAGTTCAATGTCTACCAAAAAGAATAATTTAATCAACATAAGTATCAAATCAGTTGTTTCCAATCATGCCAGCAGCACAAGAAACTGTAGTATTGGTTGTAAGAAGATATTGTGATCAATATGTTAAAAGTTACAGAATTAATTCATGTTAATGAATAACTCTCCTAAATTGGTGAAAGCCCTAGGAACTATCATAAACCTGACAAAGAACTCATGCCAATTGCCCCTTCGGCTAGCAGTATGAACAAGGCATAGGCTCACTTTACCTTATGCAGTATTCAATTATACAGAGTGCCAATAGTAAGGATTGAACTCTCCACACCACTTTATCATAGACACTAATAGGATGTCAAAGACTAACACCCTATAAGCTTAGAATTCAAGGTGAAGGACCAAAGCAAAAAATGATCCTTGAATGAATCAACAAAAAATGCAGATAAAAATATAAAGAAAATCAGTCACAGATTTCCAAAGCAAAAAATTTGCCTCAAACACTAGTATCATCAAAATTTCACACAGGATAAGGTGATTGGACTGACACATATGCAAACTAACCTTCGCACATGCAGCTTCCAAAATTCCTTTTGGCAATACAAAATGATCAGGTTCAGAGATAAAACCAAGGGGAAAGCCAAGCATCTCTCTTGTCTTCAACCAAAGTTGAGCACACTGGCGAGCTAAACTGGAGAAAACAAAGATGAAGGAAAACAACATGAAATGTAGAGAATCAAGATAAAGAAGCATAAGTGATAACATAATAACTAACAACTCTTAAAGTTTAAGGAGAGAACAAAAACGCACTAACATATCAGAAGAACAGGTGTATTCAATACTTTTCAATATACAAAACCATAGTATCAAAAGATCCATGTTTTCAGTTATACCAGACCCAAAATATAAATACTAAAATAAGCAACCGTTACAAACATAACCGCCTAATAACTGAGCAACAGTTACAACTATCATCACCTAGTAACTATAAGATAACTTAAGTAAAAACTGCAACAACACTTTGTTAAGGTTCCAACATAAAACCAAGTGGCAATATGTGGAGTAGTCTAACATGTATTTAAATCATACCGAATGACATGAAGCAGGCGATGTGGGACTTCCAACACGCCCACTCAAATGAAGTCTGCCGGACAAGGCAAAGGGTACTTTTGACCCACAACGAAAGGACAACTCTTGATCCAAGACAATAACCGGAAAGATGTTAGGTTTTGGCTCTGATACCATGTTAAGATTCCAACATAAAACCAATTAGTAATATGTGGAATAGCTTAACATGTATTTAAACCATACCAAATGACATGAGGCAGGCGATGTGGGACTTCCAACACACTTGTACCAAACTAATATCCCCCCTCAAACTCAAGGTGAGGAAGAAGAAACAACAAAACCCCAAACTGAGTTTGGACCGAAGAAGCTGGAAGCGAGTAGGAGAGAGAGGCTTGGTAAAAGCATCAGCCCACTGATCCAGAATGGGAATATGACAAACTTCAAGCTGATGAGCCAAGACTTGATCCCTAACACAAAAAACCTCAATTTCCATATGTTTTGTTTTGGAGTGAAAAACAAGATTGCGAGCAATGGCAACAACACTTTGATTATCACACAACATAACCGAAGTGGAGAAGGAAATAGATAGTTCCTTTAAAAGTGCTTGAATCCATAATAGTTCAACGGAAGCTTGAGCCAAACTTCGATATTCAGCTTCAGTGCTGGAACGAGCAATGACACGCTGCTTACGAGACCACCATGAAATAAGATTAGGACCCAGAAAAATAGTCAAGCCAAAGGTGGATTTTCTATCATCAACATCAAAAGCCCAGTCCGCATCACACTTAGTTGTGATAGAAAAGGGCTCAGAGGCACTAGCAGATTGTACATGAAGACCATAGGAAATAGTTCCTTTGAGATATCGTAAAATCCTTTTAACAGTAGTCCAGTGTGCATCTAGTGGATTAGCCATAAACTAACAAACCTTATTCACAGCATAACTGATATTTGGAGACAATGCTCCAACAACTAATCGATAAAGAGTGGGATTAGAAAAAGTATCAGATCCTATCTTAGACAGTTTATAAGATGAAACCATAGGAGAAGAAATACAATGAGCTTTAGCCATTTCGGTTTTATTCAAAAGATCACGGACATACTTACTTTGAGTTAGTATCAAGGACTTATCAGAGTGATAATTGATTTCAATGCCCAAAAAATAGTCAATTTTACCCATTTGCTTGAGAGAGAAGTGAGAATGCAAACTGTAAGTAATTTTATGAATGAGAGAAGCAGACAAACCTGTAATTATAATGTCATCAACATAAACTAAGATGTAAACTGTTTGAGAATCATGATGATAGATAAATAAAGAGGGGTCTGCTTTGCTGGAAGAAAAACCAAGCTTCAATAGAGTAGTTTGAAGTTTGGAAAACCACTGCCGAGAAGCCTGTTTAAGACCATAAATGGCTTTATTGAGTCGACAAACCAAATTTTAATCTGCACTTTCAAATCCAGGAGGTTGTACCATATAAATACTTTCATTAAGATTCCCATTCAAAAAGGCATTGTTAACATCCAAATGAAATAAATCCCATTTATTAGTTAGGCCAATCGTGAGGATGATTCTAATGGTACCAGGTTTTATAACTAGGGAGAAAGTTTCATGAAAATCAAATCCTGAAACTTGATTGAAGCCTTTGGCAACCAACCGAGCTTTATATTTATTAACAGAACCATCAAGATTTTCTTTAATCTGAAACACCCATTTGTAACCAACAGCCTTGTGGTCAGGAGGGAGAGGAATCAAATCCCAAGTGTGATTATGAAGAAGTGCAGCATACTCTTGTTGCATAGCAGCAACCCAGTGCTGATTCTCGAGAGCCTGTGAGACACTTGAAGGTTCAATATGAGTTAGTAACAATGAAGATTTGCCAGTTTTGGACTTGGTTTGCATGGAATGTGTATTAAATGACCTAGAGACAGGAGGAGACACAAAGGGAACAAATGTAGAAGCATCAGGAGCATATTGAGGAGAAGAAAAAATAGATGAAAGGGGAGGAGAGAGATTTGGTGAGTGAAATAATTATTTGGATCAGGTGCAAATATAAGAGACTAAGAAAACATATCAAAATAAGGGAATCTAAGTTCATTAAAAATGACATCCTTAGATGTGTAAAGACGACCAGATGGGGAAAGACACATATAACCTTTATGGGAAGGGGAATAACAAAGAAACACACACTCTTGGGAGCGGAAATCTAGTTTATGACGATTATATAGGCGAAGAAAAGGAAAACAGGCACAACCAAAGACTTTCATAAAAGAGTAGTCAGGAGGAGTGGTGTACAAAACAGTGTAAGGCATCCTGAACTCTAATGAGACAATGGATAATCTGTTAATTAGAAACTGTTGTTTAGAAGGCAAAATCCCAAAACTTTAAGGGGAGAGAAGCATGATGCAATAAAGTTAATCCCAGTTCAGTGATGTGTCTATTTTTGCATTCAACAACACCATTTTGGTGATGAGTATGAGGGCAAATAATCCTGTGAAGAATGTCATGAGTAGTAAGAAAAGATGTAAATAACCGAAACTCACCCCCCCCCCACAATCAGTTTGAATACTTTTAATCTTGGTATTGAATTGAAGTACAACCATAGCTTTAAAATTCTGGAATACAGTGAAGGCATCAGATTTTTGTTTCAAAGCATACAACCAAGTGAACTGAGAGAAAGCATCAACAAAACACATATAATAAAATAACCACAAGTGGACGGAACATGTGAAGGACCCCAAAGATCACTGAAGATTATGCTATTTATTCAACAATTGAATGGTTGGGGTTAAATATCATTAGTGTAGGTTTTACCTTTTTAACAATGGGTATTTTCAAGAGAAGTATGGGCTGACAGAGGATCCAGATCATATTGAAATTAAGATCAGTTCTCGTTTTCCTAAATTCAAATCATGCGAATAGAAGTAACCACAGAAGAAATAACACATTAGTTTCATCATAACTATGTGTTTTGATCTTGTTTCTACAAGTCTAGGCCATATATAACAAAATATTTCTCTCTTTCAAAGTTTCTAATTTTGGAGACTAGAGAAAAACCTAGTAGTGTGTTTGGATAGGGAATTTTTAGAAGATAATTCATTTTTATGGAGAATTTGAAATGTTTTATAACAAAATATATTGTTTGAGTAGCGAATCTTAAAAGCAATTGAAATTCTAAAAATATATAGTCGGATCAGCCCCGATGGGGACATTGCTAGCTCAACTAAGACTGAAACATTTCGGAGCTTCGCCTTCTCTACATAAGTTTTTCAACTAACATAGGTGGTGGTTTTTCGACTAAAATCAATATTGATTATTTTTTAGCCGACATCACCAATATTATTTTTTTCCCGATGTTATTTCTCAGCTAAAGTTATTGGAGGAGTTTTTGTCAACACCAGCACTGATTTTAAATTGTCAACAACAATTTTTGGTTTAGCGAGTCAACCAAAGTTATTATTTAGTCAAGGTTATCTCTGCCAAGATTGGCCGGTATACTTTTCGATAATGTCAGTTAGGGGTTTTTATCGACGAAAGCAAGACTATTTTTCAACCAATATAAGTCAAGCTTTTCCAATCAACATTGATAAGAGTTATTTTTCGGTTGACATTGTTGGAATGTAGACCAATGTTATTTCTTGGCTAATGTTAGTTAGATTTCTTAACCAAAGTTGTCATAGCTATATTTTTTTCGATTAACATCTCTAATTATTTTTATTTTGTCGATGTCTAAGGGATTATTTTCTTATCAAATGTCGCGAACATTATTTTTTGTCCAAAGTTAGTTTTTTTTTTCTCTAAGGGCTGGAAAACTTTCTATCAACCTTGACTAGGATTATTTTGACCAATGTTAGACATGAGATTTTTTTAGCCAACATTGATCAACAACAACCTTGACTAGGATTATTTTGACCAATGTTAGACATGAGATTTTTTTAGCCAACATTGATCAAAAACCTTGACCGACTATGTCATGTATTTTTTTGAATTATTAAATATTGTTTAATATTAAAAGAAAATTTGGGATTTAGTGGACTTTATCAAAACAAGAAATTAAAATTCAATTATAAATTTAAATTGTTTTATCCAAACAAAGTATTTAGAAAAAAAAAATTGAAATGAAAGAAATTCAAATATAGTTTTTGAAATCCAAACACGAAAATTAAAATTCAATGTATTTGAATTCCCTAGAAAAAATTGTGAAATTCCCTATCCAAACACATGGTTAGAGTTTATGAATCCTAGATTTCTGAATTTCATTGACATGCAATGAAAATTTTGCACTAGAAAACTGAACAGAGAAAGTCAAGAACAGAATTGTCTAAACATTTAAACAAGAATTCCATAGATGATCACATTAAAGACAAGAACCCCAGAAAATCTATATATGGTTGATTTGAGAGATTTTCACATGACATTATCACGACAAATCTCAAGGATTACTTTTCAATTGTGATTATGACTTTATCAAACTATCAAAGGGATACAAATACACATAGCTGCTTCATTTATACAAGTCACAGTTTAGGCAACAGCATTACCTACGCATGCGACCAAAATAACGAGCACGCTCTGTTACACCAACAAAGCCTCTGGAGTCTAAGATATTAAAAGCATGAGATGTTTTCAGAAGCTGATCATACCTAGCATGTAGTGGTAAAACATGCATTAGAAGCAGAGACAGAAGAAATAGAAAGTGTATTGAATAGATAATTAGAGGGAAAAATTCAACAAATAGAATATTTAAATATCATAAACATACGCAGGGATTGTAAGGCCAGAAGCAAGTAAGCTACGAGCTTCCTCCTCAAAGAAATCAAAATGTTTTTGAACGTGATCAAAACTAGCGTGCTCCAAGTAATATGCACTCATTTCCTTCCTAGAAAAGAAATATATATATTATCACCATTAATCAAGAACAAAGTCAATATTACAAAAACACAAATTAGGGACCTATAAGAATCTAAAAAATGTGTACATTATTATGACTATTGAGATCCACCTTTGACTATATATCATCAAAGTAGAGCTTAAAAAGGTTTGAGTAATCCTCCCCTCATAAGCTAGCTTTAGGGCTTCATTTACACATAACCCAAATTCATGATAGTATCAAAGAGTAGCATATATCTGAGATTGGGTCATCCTAAACTATCCAAAAATCTACATGGCCCCTACGGCCTTCCAGTATAATGAAATGAAAAATTCAGTCCTACAATTACCACAGTTAAGATGTCCAATCTTGGATATAAGGAATGACATTTTACATCAACTTGGAAGGCTTGGGCAATTCTCACCTCCCAAGCTAGTTTTTTGGATTGAGTTATGCCAGGACCAAATTCAATAAAGCATATAAATTGATATCTTTATGCACCCTAACAATATTCATGTTGAAATATGATATAATTGTGCATCACTTCAAAATTCAAGTTTTCACGAAATAATTTATGACAAATGATCAACTGCAATTACGTGTATGGGCAGTGAAACTAAAACAACTCATTTTGCATAACCAAAGTCTAAATCGCATACATTAAGGAGAAAAATATTTTTGGAAAGTTTATGGCAGTTGTTTAAATGTGATATTATTTTTATTTACAAGAATTGATGTGAACATGACCTATGACAAGGGCTAGAATAAGGGAAGCAAAAGAAGTTCTTCAACAAGTATTGTTGGTTGACCAAATTGTGTTTTTGATTAATCAATTAATGGGCTTTAGTTTGGTTTTATTGCAAGTTGTAATAAGGCCCCAATTGGAAATTTAGTTATTAGTCTTTGAGACCAAGAGGGTGTATAGTTGATTGACTTTTAGTTGTCACAATTTCAGTTACAATCAGTCATTAAGTAGTTTTCAATTCCTAGGTTAATAAATCATTATTAGCATTTATTTTTCTTTAGTGAATCTTTGTAACTCTGATGGCAAAGCTTTTTTATAAGCTGAACCATTTTTATCAAAAATAACAAGTTGAGTTTTATTTTTAGAAATATTCCTAAGTTCTTGAGTGATTCAAGAATATTTTAAACTTTCACATCCTTTGTGAGTTGCCTTCCTTGGAAAGAGTGATTCTTTCCTTCCACCTTATCACTAAATTCCTAAATTTTCCTACAAGCTTCTAACCCTAAAGATCTTAAATCACCCCTTGTGATTCATATCAAGAATAGAAATATATCAACGGGGAGGAGGAACTATAACAAAAAAGGAGGACAAGATATTCTCACAAAAAGAGAAACAAGAAGAAAATCAAGCTTAACTTTTTTTCCTTTAATAGCCATTGGGTGCCTGTCACACCTAATTTTTCTCTCAATACAATTTAGGATAATTAGTGAAAATACTCATAATTTAGGATGAATAACCACTAGAATGGTTGATAACTCAACATAGCATCTATAACCAATATATTTTAATCATCTTAAATCAGAATTGTCCCTATGGCTTATCTACTAAAGCACCTCTTCCACATATTCAATGGCTGATAAACAGTTCGGGTCCATCCCAATTTTTTTTTTCGTCATGAGATCTTTACATTTTGTGATACTCCATACATATTATCTAAGGCTCAAGTTTTGCCAACCCTTACTAGAGTCTTCATTATTTTCATCTAATATGATTATTCAGTTTATATTCTAAATCTTCCTGTATCTTTCTAAACACTTTAGTCAAAGGCTGATCCACAAACAAGGATTTTGTCTTCCTCAATTGTATAACCAACACTCTGTTGTGCTTCAGTGATAATTAGATAATTAAGATGAGGATTATAAAAGACGAATTGTAACACAGTTCATTCGTTTTGCTCTGCTTTTCCAATTATAATTAGTGGGGAACTACAAAATTGACATAGATGTCCTAGGTCATTAATGCAGAATTGGCTTTTTTATCATTTTGGACCTTACTTATATCACTTACATTCCTCTTATGGCATTTCTAAACTATAGGACTCTTGACCTAATGTGTTCAACTTTAATTTACTAGCTTTCCAGTACTTTAGTTGTCTTACTAGGATGTCTTGTTATTCAAAGAACTCTCATTTCAGAACATGAACTTAGTTAAAAGAAACTAATTTCATGTTACAGCATTTCAGTTGTCTTTTTAACTTTCCTTGTCCTCCTTCTCTGCACTCCCCACTCAATTGAAGCTAAGAAAATGGCCATCAGACCGAAGGCATGTTTTCCCTCATCAAAAGGTTCTTGATGTGTTATAAAAGAAAATGTAATATAGAATACAAATATTAATAAGGCAAGGTCTACATGTTTTATGATTACTCCAAAATATTTCACCAGGAAAAAATAAAATGCAATTCAAAGCCAGTAGTCAAATTAATCACGTACTCATTCTCCAAGAACAACTCTCCATATGTAATTCCATCAGAATATTTTATCTTCTTGAAGTGATCAACCCCCTGTCACAAAATATATAAAACTTAAGAATGTTATTTGATGTTGGATAGAGATCAATTGAAGAAAAATAAAATTAACCAACTTACCTGCAGTAACATGAGGATACGCTCAAGGCCATAAGTAATTTCTACAGATACAGGTGATAACTGGAGACTTCCAGCCTGGATGGAGAAAGAGATGAGAACATGAAAGTAAATGGCATATCTTTTTTTGTTACAATAAAAGAACAGCATTCAAAGGTTGCATGATGGAAAATGACCTTAAGCAGGATATGTCTTGTCTCTAATAAATTTTCTTCTCCATTACAAAATTATAATAATTCCCTCATAGCAAGAAAACATACCTGCTGAAAGTAAGTGAATTGCGTAATCTCCATCCCATCCATCCAAATTTCCCAGCCCAAACCCCAAGCACCAAGAACCTATATACATTTTCAATTCTCACAAGGATGACATTACGATTTTAATAAATTTAAAACAGACTAAAATGGAAATAGGTTTGAATTTTCTTTCAATAAGCAGAATTAAAAAGATTTATAAAGCAAAACAATAAATATTACCGGACTCTCCCAGTTATCTTCCACAAATCGTATATCATGTGCAGTAACATCAATACCTATCAAAGATATGAACTCCAAAAGTTCATATTCAGAGCTATAAAAGTGGAAAATAGATAAAATAAGGTATAATAAGAACTGCACAAATTTCAAACTGTTGTCTCGTTTTTAGTTACTAATTAATGTAAACTTCTTGCTGCGGTTAAGGTATACCAGTAACTTGATTTCCGAGGGAGTCAAACGTGAGGCAGTAAGATCCTTTTCACAATTTCAGCTAATTTCTAGCCTTTTGTACTAGCTAAAAGGCTTGTTTGACTTCTTCAATAATATTTGGTAAAAATGTTTTTTAGTAGCTTGAAGTAAAGTTTTTAGAAATTCTACTTGATGTAGAGTTTTTTAAAATGCTAGCACCTAAACCTTAAAATATTTATTAAATTTTCTCTTTACTCATTTCTAAATGTGGCATTATTTTATTAAATATTTTTTCTTCAGTCACTCAGAAGACATGACTTTATTATTTTTACCTTTTTAACATCAGCTAGGATTTTATTTATTTTTAAGCTTTTATTAAATAAAACAATAGCAAAGATACAATATTTATTTTACTATTTGAGGGACAATTATTTGCGACATTGATATGAATAGATGGTAAACTTGTTCTATTTTTATTAATTTTAAATATTTTGCAGAGCAAATTGTGTATTTTATCCATGAGACTATTATATTATTTTTAGCGTTATACTTCAAGATAGTTTAACTATCACATTAATTATCATAAATGAAAGTGTTAAATCTATTTAAAAATATGTTCTTTTTACTTTATTTTAAATTTGAATGGAAATATTAAAAGATAAAGTATAAGATTAATAAATATAAACCAATTGAAAGTGAAATAAATGTAATATTATAAAATAAAAGATGATGAGTTTAAAATTAATTAAACAATAAAGTTAGAAATACCCTCAAAATTAAAATTTATATGAAATTATAAGCAAATACAACTAACATTTTACCAAACACTTACAATTTAATAATCTAACTTAACAGCTTTCAGCTACCAACTTTTAGCTACTGGCTAGTTTTTCATCTTCCAGCCAGCTTTTCATCTTTCAGCTAATTCTGTCAAGCATAGTCAAGGTGTCTCTTCCTTCTGTATACAGCAATTAGCAAAACTGCTGATTGAATAACCCCAAACCCTATACGTGTGCAGGTAGCATCAATTGTCCCATGGCGGAAGCTGGGTGGGCCAAGTCACAATCGAATCGTGGCGCTTGGACTGTTACTCTTAAGTAAAAAGAGTTGCGCTCTAACTAATAGCTATAGTTTTTGACCAAGTGGAAAGTGTTTAATCCTAACAATTGGTATCAGAGCCAAGGTCACGAGTTTGATTCCTAGTGGGCAATTGTTAAGGGGGAGATTGTTGCAGGTTGCACAATTGTCCCGTAGCGGAGGCCAGGTGGACCAAGTCACAATCCAAGTGGGATTCCTCGTAGGACAATTGCTGAGGGGGAGATTGTTGCAGGTAGCATCAATTGTCCCGTGGCGGAGGCCGAGTAGGCCAAGTCACAATCGAATTGTGGCATTTGGTTGTTACTCTTAAGTAAAAAGAGTTGCGCTCTGACTAATAGCTATAATTTTTGGCCAAGTGGTATGTGTTCGATCCTAACAATACACATAAAGCATCAAACACTAATGGTCTCACCGGTCTATTAACTAGAAATAATACGCAAAAAAAAGACTTCATATCCCAGAAGTACCCAAAGAACTGCCTAAAGACAATTAGTACACAAACACTAATAATTCAGGCCAGGTAGTTCTAAATCTACTGCTTAAAACTTCTCACATAAACCTTCTATGAGTTTAAAGTAATGACAAGGTTTAGACCTTTCAATCTTCTTCAATGCCTAGTGTTTCAACAACATGCATTTCTCAATCTATGAAAGGTCAAAACCCATGGATTCTTGATTCAAGTGTCTATGATCATATATCTGATAATAATAGTTCCTCATTTTCCTCCATGTCCTATCCTACAATTCCTCATCTGATTACTGTGGCTAATAGATCTAAAGTAAAGTCACAAGGAATTGACCATGTTTCTTTAACCCCTTCTTTGAATTTATGTTTTGTTCTTTCCATTCCTAATTGCCCTTACAAATTGATTTCTCTAAGTCAATTGACTCGTTCTCTGAATTGTTTTGTAACCTTTAATCCAATTCTTTTGTTATTCAGAAACATGAAACGGGTCGTCTGATTGGAGAAGGAAATGAATCACATGGTCTGTACTATCTGAATCCAAGTCCTTCAATGTCATGTCTTGTTTCTCCTACTCTTAAACTTATGCATGATCGAGGTCACCCAAGTTTACCAAACTTGAAAGTGATGGCTCCTAATCTCACACATCTTTAGGGTTTAGAATGTGAATCTTGCCAATTAGGAAAACATGTTAGGTTCACCTTTCCTAAACACTCTGAAACTCCATGTAATTTTCCTTTTTCAAATATTCATTCTGATGTTTAGGGACCGAGTCGTGTCTTTTCATTTGGCTTCTGATATTTTGTAACCTTTATTGATAAATTTTTCATATGTACTTGGGTTTATTTAATGAAAGATATATTGAAATTTTGTCCATTTTTGTGTCCTTGAATGAAATTAAAAACAAATTTGGGAAGACAATTAAAGTTCTCAGAAGTGATAATGCCAAAGAATATTTTTCAGTCTCCTTCTCTTCTTTATTAATTAACTTGTCTTCACACTCCACAGCAAAATGGTATTGCAGAAAGAAAAAATGGGTATCTTATTGAGACTGCACGCTCTCTAATGTTGAATATCAATGTTCCTGTTCATCATTGGGGAGATGCAGTTCTGACTGCTTGTTTTCCGATCAATTGAATGTCATCTTCTTCTCTTCAAAATCAAATTCTTCATTCTCTTATCTTTCCAGATGATCCTCTTCATCATGTGTCTCCTTGTATTCGATTGTACCTATTTTGTACATAATGTCTCTCCAGATCTTCATAAGCTAAGTGTTAAAGCCATGTGTTTTCTTGGGATATTCTCGCCTCCAAAAAGGGTACAAATGTTATTCCCCATCTACCAAAAGGTATTACATGTTTGCTGATGTCACCTTCTTTGAGGAAACACCCTTTTTTTATTCCCCCATGGAAGATGGTTCCTCTATTCAAAATGTTCTTCCTATACCCTCATGTGATTCACTTATAATACATAATCCTTCTCCAATTCAACCTACATGTCTCAATGATTCTCCTCCTCTTCTTACATATCACCGCAAGACCCCACCTACACCTTTACCAGATTCTGCAGATAATCGTGATTCATAATCTTCTCCATCAGCTTCTTATACCATGGATCCTTCAACCTCCTCCCCCCCTTCTAATTCTGGATGGCCTATTGCACTCAGAAAAGGTATTCGTTCCTCTCAGAATCCCTTTCCTATTATAATTTTTTATGTTACCATCGTTTGTCTCCTTCATATTCCTCTTTTGTTGTCTCTTTGGCTGATACCACTATTCCTAATTCTGTTCATGAGGCTCTTGATCACCATGGATGGCGACAAGCCATGATTGATAAAAATGCAAGCTCTTGAGCACAATGGCACTTGCAAGCTTGTCCCTCTTCCTCCTAACAAAAAGTTTGTGGGCTATAGGTAAGTCTATGCAGTTAAAGTTGATAATAACGGTAAAGTGGATCGTCTTAAAGCTCGTCTAGTAGCTAAAGGCTACACTCAAATTTATGTCCTAGACTACTATCATACATTCTCTCCAATAGCTAAGATTTCCACTATTCATCTTTTCCTTGCTATGGATGCTATTTGTCATTGGCCCCTTCACCAAATGGACATTAAAAATGACTTTCTTCATGGTGACCTTGAGGAAGAGATTTATATGGAGCAACATCCTGACTTTCTTGCTCAGGGGGAGTTTGATTTAGTGTACAAGCTACACCGGTCTCTTTATGGCTTGAAGCAGTCACCCCGAGTTTGGTTTGGGAAGTTCAGTCATGTTGTGCAATTGTTTGGTTTGAAAAGGAGTGAAGCATATCACTCAGTGTTTTATTGTCATTCATCTTCAGGCAAGTGTGTATATCTTATGGTTTATGTTAACGATATTGCTATTACAGGCAATGATAATACTAAGATCAGCTAACTGAAGAATCATCTATTTGCTCACTTCCAAACCAAGGATCTTGGTCAATTGAAGTATTTTCTTGGTATTGAAGTGGCTCAGTCAAAGGAAGGTGTGATCATCTCTCAAAGGAAGTATGTTCTTGATATCTTGATATTCTGAAGGAGACAAGTTTAACAAATTGTAACCCATTGATACCCCAATGGACCCTAATCAGAAATTGATGGGAGATAAAGGGGAAAAGTTGTCTGACCCAGAAAGATACAAGAGGTTGGCTGGGTTGGTTGTCCCATTGATAGAAGATCTATTACTGGGTATTGTATCTTTATTGAAGGGAATTTGATTTCTTGGAAGAGTAAAAAGCAAAGTGATGTTGTTCGATCTAGTGCAGAAGCTGAACATAGATCTATGGCGCTTGCTACATGTGAACTTGTGTGGATCAAACAACCTCTTCAAGAATTAAAATTCTCTGATAATGGGCAGATGAAGTTGTTTTGTGATAATCAGGCAGTTCTTCATATTGTCTCCAACCCAATGTTTCATGAAAGAACAAAGCATATCAAGATTGATTGTCACTTTGTTAGAGAAAAGTTAGTATCTAAGGAACTTATAACTAAAATTGTAAGCTCCAATGAGCAACTAACGAACATTTTAACTAAATCCTTGAGAGGACCTAGGATTCAGTTCATTTATTCTAAGTTTGGTGCATACAATCTATATGCTCCAGCTTGAGAGGGAGTGTTGAGACATGTTTCTCTATCTTTTTGTATTCTCTGTGCATGTTTCTTAGACTAGTGTTAAAGGTTTGGCCTGAGGTCCATACCCTCTCTATTATATATCCTTTATCTATAAATACAATGTAACAGTGCCTTCTAACACTGTATTGAAACCCTAAATAAGTTTCTCAAGTATACAAAACTATAATGTAAAATTTTTAAAAATATTCATTCACTCCAATGGACAAGATATGCCTAATCAATAATTTAGCTTCTATTATTTTTTCCACCCATGATGCATCATATATCAGCACAGCATTGAAATATCAATGGACAAAGTCGAAATAGAAAGCATTTGCACACAATTGTATGTCATGTACGCAAAGTCCATCTGATTTAAACTATGGGTGAATCAAGTTAAACAAGACATGATTATTAATAAATATCTAATCAACCACCATTTATAACAGTAAGACCTACACTTGAGTGATATTCTAACTCGTGATAAATATGTAAATGAATCTAGACAGCAATTCTTAGTCAATAAAACAATTTACCCAGAGCCAATTATCCCTTATAACCTAAGGTTTGCTCCCAAAACACAAATCCAAAACCAAATATAAGATCATCTTTAGTAATTAGAATGTAATTTGAAGAGGCCTAAGAAATTTATGATATAAAAACTAATAGCATTTGTGCACTCTACAAGCTTAAGAAATTAAAATAACTTGTAAAACATTAACCCAAAATCATAATAAATAAAAGGAAAATGAATTTGTTCCAAGCTAAGCTTCTTGGTTTTCTTAACACAAATTTTTCTTACTTTAGTACAATTTTCTTCCATTGGCATGCAAGTTTCCTATTTGTATGCTTATATGCATGTAAGTCAAAACAAAAATAGCAGTTGAACAAGAGAATACAATCTATTTCAATTGAATCAGAGAATATCAGACCCGGTTACTACCTAAAGCAGAGAGGCTGCGGATAAATAGATCCTGAGAATTTCCAGGATCCGGCTTCAGTATCACCTGAAATCAAAATACAACCAAGAATTCAATGCTAGAAATGAACACAAGTTATTACAAAAACAACCTTATAACTTAAATTTGTGAATTTGATTATGTTATCAAACTTGACCTGAAATTGAGTATGTCTCTGGAGCCTATTTGGGTTTTCTCCATATCGACTATCATCAGGGCGGATGCTAGGTTCCACATACCTAACATAAAAAAAAAAAAAAAAAAAAAAAAAAAATCATTAATTTTAGATTCAAAACCTCCCTCACACTCTGCATTCTTCATAACAAGTAAAAATTACAAATTTTAATAAATAAAATTATTGAGAACGGATAGCTTCCGTTCAACACAAGTATACTTACAACCAACAGTATTTTCTAATAAACAAACAGACTTATAAAAGAATACAACAACAGAACTCAGTAACCATTATATTCACAACCACAGTATTAAATTATAATCCTTCTTTCATTGAGGAAAAGATAAATTCATTAATTTCCAAAACATTTCAGAAAAATTCTACGGTAGACAAAATGGATATTTTTAAAACCAATGCATAAAGCAATAACATAAATCTAAAACATACTTACGCAACATTCCATGGTTCAGGGCCAAGAACCCTTAAATATGTAAGAGGATTCATAGTCCCAGCTCCAACCTGCTCAATATAGCAAAAAAAGAGAAGTATCAAAGAAGAGTCAATAACACTTTCCAAGTTCAAAACTGAACCTCATTTCTTGAAGTAAAACCTTAGAAGCATACGTCAACAACAACAATTATAATATAATATTCATGATAAGAGAGAGTAGCCCATGCATTGAGTCATTTACAGTGTGAAGATTTTATACACTATCATCCAATTACATGTTGCCGAATATGTAAAAATTTGTTAACTTCAACAATAACTTAAAAGTCATACGTAACATAATTTCTTTTGATTGTCAATGTAAAAGTGTTTCCACATACAAATCAAAGAAATTGAACTTAAATTAGGAGTCAGTGAATGGAGAGAAAAAGGAATGGTACCGTGTGAAATGTCAAAGAACGAAAAAAGAAACTCAGGCGATGTCAGTATAATATAATCAATATAAAATAACAACGATAAATTTATAAGATAATTGAACCAAATTGATGAGTGGAAATGCTGCAAGTTAGTTTAACCACCTCTGTGTTGCTACATTGCATTATAGAACACCCAACAGAAGCCCAATATTCCTGCAATTTCGCATACAAATAAAATAACTGAATTTGAACAATTTTATGATAAATTTAAAAGGAAAAAAAAAAAGGAAGGAGAAAAGGTGACAGGTAATGTAATTTAGTTATTGCAAAGACCTGAAGGCGCTGAATGGCTTGCTGGAAGGTGAGGGTTGAGGAGTTAACGGAACGATTGTCGGATTGAGTTGAAGTAGAAGAGTGGCGTGACAGAGAATGTGAAGGTGAAGGAGAATGAGAATGAGAATGAGGAGTAGTGGTGGCGGAGAAGGTCGTGGCAAAGTGGCGGCGGCGGAGGAAAAGGGAGTGGGAGGGGCGGAGGCGAGTTGTGGCGTGGGGTTTGAGAAGGGAGATGACTAAGGGCAAAGCCAGGATTCCCATGGCGCGACCACGGGTGGTTGTTTCACAAATGGGGGGATAAGATAGGGTTTATCAATTTAACCTTTTAGTTTTCATACCTTAGAACAAAACCGTTACTACATCAAAGGTGTAACGTGACCATAAATATCTTTTCAAATGTCGTTAGATTTTTATTTTTAATTTTTACCACATTATCCCTCAACTTCTTACACTCAATTTTGTTTATAATAATAAATTTTAAATTTTTTATTCATACTACTATGTGTTTATTTTTAAATTGAATTGTTTAAAAAACCAAATAAAGAATATTTAAAACAAATTGTGTAACACATCGAATAATTATTTTAAGTAATTCTAAGCATTTTCCAGTATAAATAATAAGTTGAGTTATTCTATTATTATTATTATTATTATTATTATTATTATTATTATGTTGAAAGACAATAAGTTTATTTTATATGATGTAAAAAATAATTTAAATTAGTAATTTTATTATATATGATAAACAAAGTATATATTTGCGTGATAGAATACAAGTTCGATTTCTCTTCCTAAAAAATTTGGTGGAATGAGTAAGAAAGTATGAAAATCATCTTTTTAAGGATTAAAAAAATAATTATGTTTTTTCCGAACGAATTTTCTGTAATATTTTTTGAAGGAGTGAAAAAACAATTATTTGATGAATTCAAAAATACTTTGAAGTGTTTTTGAAAAATGAAAAAGAAGAAGAAAACCACAACTACAAAACCCTTCCACATACAAACACAGAGTTGATCAAATCACCCTTTTGATTCATGTATGGTGACCATCACATCAATCTCAAATTCGAACTTTATCTCACAATCTAATTCCAACCAACAAGGAAAACCAGAGAATGCGGAACGAAGAAGAAGAAGAATTGGTGGCTGAAGTTGAAGCAGTGGAAGCCGTCTATGGAACTGATTGCGTCCTTCTCAGTTCATTTCCTCCCCATTTCCACCTCTCTCTCAAACCCAGAACCGCTGATGTTTCCTCTCAACAGGTCTTCTCTTCTGTATTTCATTATTTTCCCTTCAATTCCACTGTAACCCATTGTTTCCTTTTATTTCACCCACCCCCTAAAATGAAATGCTGCACATAAGATTACTCTTCAGATGCAGTGTTATTATATTATATAGAGCTTCATACCGTTAGGGGTAAACTAGATTCAGATAACTGAATCAAGGTTTAATTTAAACGTCGATACCTGTAGATGAAAAAAACCACACAAAAAATCTGGTTGGGATGATAGAGCTTACTTCATTGGTTGGAGGGAAACTAGACTCCGTTCACTTAAGGTGAAAACGTGATTGGAAGGATACCCTACTAAAGGTGGTTTGTCGGATTTCTACACAGAGATCTAACACTAGTAAAGTTGATGATATTTAGTACCAATGTTATGAACATATAAGAAATTGTAATAGAACTATGGGCGTTGAAAATCTTATGTGGTAAAATTATAATATATAAATAAGGTGTAAACCTCATATTGTGAGCCAATTTCATAGAATTGAGTTAGACGTCTATTCATTTATTGCCATGGTATGAGAGTGGCAACAATGATTGATATTAGAGCCTATCCTAATAATATTTGGTGGAACTTTTGCCACCCATCTAAACTATAATATATAAGTGAGGTGTAATCCTTATTTTATAGGTAGGTTTTGTAGAGTTGAATTAGACATCTGTCTATTTATTGACAATGTGAATTTCATAAGCTGGAAGCTTTAGAACTGATACAAGAAATTACTAGATTATCCAGACAACCACCATAGTCCTCTGCCAATCATTTAACACACAATTCAGTTTGTTTTCCTCGTAAAATGAAAATTCTGACTACGTGCCATGTGAAAGCTGGCTGGGATCATGGACATATGGTAGCCTTGGACCATGTAATAATGTCTTTAGCTCAAAGTGTGTGTTTATTTGTGTATTCCTTCCTTCTAATCTCTGAAATTATAAGTTCTGAGACTTTACAGAATTCTCATTTTTGTATTTATTGTTTGGGGTAAAATTACAGTAAAATTAAAATGATAGAAATGAGTGATGTTTGTAAAGATAGGGACTAAAGTAAATTTTTTGTAAAATTAAGGACTGAAGTGATGGATGCTTTTAATGTAAGTGATTGGAATGGGGATTTGCTTTATTATTTTTTGTTTAGATTTATTTTTAAGCAATTTCAGTGTAAAGATTTGTATACTGTTAATCAGTTAGAAATCACCACTAGTATGACTAGTAGTTCTTACAACAATCTATAATCTTATTGTACGTTATAGTTAGTTATAGAAACACATGACAATGTAAAAATCGTTTACATTGTTGATATATTAAATTAAATCCAAGTGTATGATTGTTGGTGTTGATTTAAAGTTATTTCGTCCCTTATCTGTCGGTGTTGATTTTAGATGTGCAATTCTGCCACTGGAGCAAGTGTCTGATTGTTAGTAGTTTTTATGTTAATTTTCTTTGCAGTTTGTAGAAGCTGTTCTGGAGATACGAGCTACCTCACAGGTACATATTGCTATATATATGCATGTGATCTAGGTAAAGTTAATTGGTACTTTCAAATCTAATAGATTGGGGTATTACATTCTCTTTGTATATGTATAGAATAGAATTTGTGGTTTTCTTAGAGGGAATTTGGCTTCTACACAAACACATGCACCTAGTCTTTTAAAAGGGGTTTCCCTTATAGGCAGTAAAGTAACTTAGTAAATTGACTTTTGCCTCCTTTCTTGTTATAGTATCCAAAAGAACCACCTTCTATTGAGATTGTGGATTGCAAGGGTCTGGATGAACAGAGACAGAAGCATCTATTAAATTACATACAAAGTAAAGCCTATGAGCTCTCCCCTTGTTTAATGCTTGTAGCTCTCTGTGAGGTAACGGTTGCATCATTGATCTAGCTGCATTCTGAAACAATAATATTGATAGTTTTACTTCAAATAATTATCACTTTTCATGGTTTATTTATTTCAATTTCAGATGATTTATCATCTTAAATATTAGGATACTTTTTTAGTTATTCCTTTTTTTCAAAATATTTTTATCAAATGAAATGAGATTATGAGGGTTGATATTTGATGAGAGTGAGAGAGAAAGTGTAAAGGAATTTTGAAGATAAGAAGGGAAAAATGAGGAATTCTAATAAGATAGTAATAGTAAGGATAAAAGTTGCAATCCTTCAGAAAAAGGATAAAAGTTGGAAAAAATAAAAGTTACAAGGTTATAAGCTCAAATGCTATGCAAAGTAGTGTGTTAAAAAATGCTATAAACTAGTGAAATAAGCTCTTTATTTTGGTGTTTTTAAGCTAGTCAAATAAGCTAGAAGCTACTTTATTTGTCTAGCCAAACAAATTTAAAATGGAGAAATATTAAAGACTAAAATATTCCTTAATCGTGTAGGACTGCAGACTCATTCATTAAAAATCGCTCCATGCAATTTTTTGATTATGTTTTGTTGATAACACGATAAATTGTTGTTTATTGTTTATAGCATAGCTTTGGATAACATGGTAATTGCAAAGCATGAAAATAGATGTATCATAATCAAATATAGTTTTTCATATAGTAATGATTGTTGAAATGTATTTGAAGGAAACTGTTGAGAAACTTTCAGCTATGAATCATCCTGATGGTGATTGTCCATTGTGTTTATTCCCTTTGGTCCTAGAAGATCAGCAAAGTGAAACCCTGCCTTTTATGAAGTTAATGTCTTGCTTCCATTGCTTTCACAGGTGCTTCTATTAATTTTATATTTCTGATTTTCCCCCTTCTGTTCTCACGTGAATAACATTAGATTTTTAGAAGTTTTATGAGTTTAAATTTTTTCCTGGCTTAGCAATGGATTTTCATTTCTAATTAGTAATTGTCTATAACTGGCAGTGAATGTATCATTAGATGGTGGAAATGGCTTCAAAGTTCTAAAGAAGCAGACTCTGCCAATACAAATAGTGCAGCTGCACATCGTAATCAAGGTATGGATAATTGGAAAGGTATTTTTGACAAGATTAAACATAATTTTGGATAGGAAATTTTCTTTTCTACAACCAAAGCATAAAAGCCTGGAGAGCTAATATATTTTGGAGAAAATCCTCATGAGATACAATTAGCTTCTAAAGTAGATTAATAATTTTAAGTTTCATATTGTCATTCAGGATCCTGGTAAATAGGAACCTATCACAATGCCTTGATATTGTTTCTCAATAATCGTTTGCAACTATAGCTTGATAATAGAAGTTTCATTTGACAGCCTGAAAATTTAACTTAAGTTTACATGTGGTCTTTTATGTGAAATTATTATCATAGTAAGCCTCTGCATAATCACACCCAGTTTTTTTTTATTAAAAAGATGCTTTATACTTATTAATGGAGCCATCTGAATTTCCTTTACATCCAATGGCAGTCCTGTGAAGAAGTAAATGCACAAGAGACCAAGTATTGTTAGTTACCAATGCAACAAATAAAGCTTGCATTGCTGCCTTCTAATGAGGAATTGCCTAAGCTTTCTTCACGGTTATTGGTTCCAGAGTAGTAAGAAGAAATATAGAATCTTAGAGAGGCTTGACTATTCCAGGTTTAGACCTAGTCTGTACTGGATGGGTGGAATGTGGACTAGATGATGAAACAGGTAGAGGAACAGATTCAGGAGATGTAGACATGGGACATATAGTAGGGAAAGAAGATTCAGGAAGAGAGGATGAGGACTGTGGATTAAGATTAGTAGAGGTAGGGGAATGAGAACGTGATGAGGATGGAGAATGTTGAGAATAGGGGGAGAGTAAATAGGAAAGGGAGTGATAATGGATGAGGGAAGAGAAGATGAAGAAGCAGAGATTGATGATATGCCCTTTTGGATCTGCTTCAAAACATGCACATTTGAACTCAAATCATCTGATATTATAAAAATAAGTGGAAACTAGTTTTAGTTGCTTTCATTTTGATGGGTGGACTTGGTGAACACAAAGGATGAGGATTTTGAGGGAGATATAGTAGAATAAGGAATCTTGAATTCATTAAACAGAATATCATTGGATAGATATAGTTTCCCTCTAGGTGAGAAACGTTTATATCCTTTGTTAACATGGGATTAGTTTAGGAAAGTAAATTCTGACCTATAGTTCAGTTTATGTTGACTACGAAGTCTTAGAAGAGTGCAGTATACACAACTTGGTGTTTAAGGTCTGTCCATGAAGCCCACGTTTTAAACTGCCTGTATAAGTCCAGTTTGCGAAATAAACAGCCTGCAGGTCCAAATATTAATCCAACAAAAATGAAAAATCTATCAATTTAATAGAAATTTATTTATTTGCCCTTTCATTTGTTAAGATAAAATCTACCAAATTAAATGAAATTCCTTTTTATAGTTGATTACTTTTGTAACTTTTTTTGTCTAAAATGCTGCAATTTCAAATTCACAGGCTAACCCATGAATCTGTGGATTAAGCTCGCAAAGTCCATGGGTTTAACGGACCAGACCTGTAAATTCGTCTGTACTTATGTAAATTTACAGAACAGAGTCCGTTCTCTGTGTGGTACACAGACTTGGGTCCATATACCCACCCCTATGCACACCCAAACACATAGAAAAAGGATTATTGGGTTGGATACGAAATATGAAGTGAAGGGTATTAGGCATGCACAACAACTGCACTAAAAAGTAAAAATACCAATCAACTTAACCAAACCTTATCCATGCCAATGTAGAACTAGTAAGACCGATTGTGCTTGTACCCTTTGTAACCCCCATGCTTCATCACCAAAACTGCTGCTGTGCATTGACAAGCAAAACCCAAACAGGATAGAAAATCATGCTGTGAGTCAGCTACTTGTTTTGTGTTTGCCCCCAGTATGCATCCTTAAAGCATCTCTCCATTTTGTCCATTCATGTTGAATCCTTTTCTTAAATTGCCGTCAATCTCTATATGTTTGTATGATAGATCCAAGACTTTAACAATACGACTTGTGGTATGATATGAATGTAATTGGTGTGGGGCACTTGTTTCGTGTTGTAGACTTGTGTTATTGGATGATTAGGAAAATGCTTTTCTCATTATTAATGAATTACAATCATATCAATTATATATATATATATATATATATATATATATATATATTTTAAGAAAACCAGTTTGGATTAAACGTTTCAGCTTCTATAATCATGGATTCTTTAATAACTATTTTAAATATGCAGAATTTGATATTTTAGTTTAGAGTTTGTATTTTGCTAGCATAGTGGCGTTATTGTATTTTTTTGTGTGTGAAATACATATTTCTTTTATCCTGCTTTAATGCATTCCTAATAGAAACCATGAAAATTCATAGTATAATATATTCTTAAGGAATTTATGTTTTTTATTTTTAGGTAATAATGAGAAAATGGAAGAGAGTGTCGGAAACTGTCCAGTCTGTCGCAAGCCTTTTCTTGCCAAGGATTTGGACCATGTGCTTGCCCTAGTTGGTTCATATTCTTCCCAATTGGTAAGCTATTTGTTTCAACTATACAACATGAACTGTAAATGTCATTACTGGTTTGTCTGAATGGCTTGGAGTTAGGTGATAGCCCTATTTAGAACATGGATGACTTGCCGTAGGGCCAATCCTTGCAATCCGATAGGGTTCTTTTTGCTCCTTGCAGTCAACAATGTTTTCCTTTATTGAGGAGGACCTGGTGATAATTTAATGGTTATGAAATATGATTTGGAAGTTTAAATTAGCACATGATGAACTGATGTGGACATGACCTGTAAGGGTTAGGGGAAGGGAAGCAAAGGAAACTCTTCAACAAGTTTTGTTGGTTGACCAAATTGTGTTTTGGATTAATCAATTAATGGGCTTTAGTTTGGTTTTATTGCAAGTTATAATAAGGGCCCAATTGGAAATTTAGTCATCAGTCTTCGAAAAACCAAGAGGATACATAGCTGATTGACTTTTGGTTGCCACAATTTCAATTACAACCAGTTATTAAGTAGTATCAATTCTTAGGTTAATGGATCATTATTAGCCTTTATTTGTCTCCATTAAGTAGTTTTCAATTCCTAGGTTAATGAATCATTATTAGCATTTATTTTCCTTTATTGAATCTTTGTAATTCTAATGTCAAAGTTTCTATGTAGGCTGAACCATAATTTTATCAAATATAACAAGTTGAATTTTATTTAAAAATATTAGAGTTTAGCTTTTTTATCTTGGGGAGAGTGATTCTCCTAAATTCTTGAATGATTTAAGAACCTTTGACTGTATCAAAGGACTTTCACATCATTTGTGAATTGTCACTCTTAGGAAGAGTGATTCTTTCCTTCCACCTTATCACTAAATTCCTAAATTTTCTACAAGGTTCTAACATTAAAGATCCTAAATCACCCCTTGTACAATTGAGATTCATATCAGTTGGTATTCAGAGCTCCGGTTTAAGGGTTTGAACATCAAATTGATGGCAGAGGAGGAAAATTACAATCAAGAAGCAGGAATTAGTCCATTTCAAATGAGGGCATTGGTAAAACATTTGGAAGGATTCATGATATAACATAATAATGAGCTTCATGAAAGATTGAACCGGTTAGAGAATAGAGATCTCGAAGATGAAGAAGAAAGGAGAAATAGGAGAAGGAATGATGGAATAGCAAGACCAAGTAGGCTTGAAGAAGTCAAGCTTAGTATTCCTCCGTTCAAAGGAAAAAGTAATTCGGAGGCATACTTGGAGTGGGAGATGAAAATAGAACATGTTTTCTCATGCAACAATTATGAGGAGACTTAAAAGGTGAGGCTTGCAATCACGGAATTTTTTTACTATACTCTTGTTTTGTGGAACAAGCTACAAAAGGAGAGAGGTAGAAATAAAGAGCCTGTGGGAAATCAAATAGTATTTTAGGAAAGAATAAATCAGGAAATTTGTATATTTCCTTGTAATCTGTACAGATTTGAATAATTAGGAACAATCCCATAAATCAAGGGATCCTAGCATAAAATAGAGTTATTATATTTCCTAAAATAGCTTAGGTCTCCTGTATATATCTTATATCATCTATTTGTATTGATATAATAAAAATCATATTTCAGTTAATCTAATTTTCCAGATGGTATCAGAGCTTCCGATCTAGGAAGCTCTGTCTGCGCGCGATAAACCCTAAGACGGCAGCCTGCATTGTTGCTGCATATTTCTTAACCCTAAGACGGCAGCCTGCATTGCTGCTGCATTTTTCTTAACCCTAAGACGGCAGCCTGCATTGTTGCTGCATTTTTCTTAATCCTAAGACGACAGCCTGCATTGTTATTGCATCGCACCTTTTTACTAAAATGTCAAGGGAAGAGGAGATAGAAAGGGTGAAAATCGTTCTTAGTAAGCTGGAAAAACTTACAGGTATGTGTTCTTTGGCATACTTAGGTAAGTTTCCACCTTCTTTTAGATTAAATGTCTCAGATACGTCTTTTAACCATTATTGGATATTGGACTCTGGAGCCACAAATCACATGACACCATTAGTCAAACACTTCTCCACATATTTCCCATGTCCCAGCAACAAGAAAATTGTCACAGCAGATGGAACCCTTATAACTGCAGCTGGTCAAGGAAATGTCCAAATCAATCATTTAATAACCTTAAAAGATGTTCTCCATGTCCCAAAGTTGTCCACGAACCTAGTGTCTATACAAAAACTTATAAAGGATTTGTCATGTAAAGTTGTTTTTTTCAACGATCATTGTGTATTTTAGGACAAGGATTCGGGTAGGATGATTGGACATGCTAGAGAATGGAATGGCCTCTATTATCTTGAAGATCTAAGTCTGCCCAACAAGAATAGAATCTCTCACTCCTTCATATCTGAATCCTTGATGACCAACAGAGAAAAAATCATGCTTTATCATTGTCGGTTGGGACATCCCTCTTTTGGAGTGATCAAAATTATGTTTCCCTCTCTATTTACCAAGTTAGATGTTGAGAGTCTTCATTGTGAGGTGTGTGAACTTGCTAAGCACAAGCGTATATCTTTTTCAATAAGTAATAGAATTAGCAATTTCCCTTTTTATCATGTTCATACTGATGTATGGGGACCTTCTAATATTCCAAATGTGTCTGGTACTTGATGGTTTGTCACCTTTATAGATGACTGTACAAGGGTCACTTGGGTTTTCTTACTTAAACAAAAATCAGAAGTCAGTTCTGTCTTCCTAAACTTCCACTCCATGATAAAAAATCAGTTTGGTGTTAATATTAAGAGGCTTAGATCAGACAATGTCAAAGATTACTTCAATCATGTCCTTAATTCTTTTTGTCAAAAAGAAGGTATAATTCATGAGTCCTCTTGTGTCAAAACACCACAACAGAATGGGGTCGCAGAGAGGAAAAATGGACATCTATTAAATCAGACTCGGGCATTGTTGTTCCAAAAAAGTGTCCCAAAAAATTTCTGGGGGGAAGCTGTCCGTACAGCAACATACCTTATCAATAGACTACCCTCTAGAGTCTTAGGATCAAAAAGCCCTATGGAAGCTTTGTCGTCTTTCTATCCAAACTTGCCTACTATAAATAATCTTAAACCAAGAGTTTTTGGGTGCATCTCATATGTCCATATTCATAGTACAGATAGGGAGAAACTTGATCCTAGAGCCTTAAAGTGTGTCTTTGTTGGTTACTCACCCACTCAAAAAGGGTATAAATGCTACCACCCCCCATCCAAAAAATTCTTTGTGTCTAGGGATGTTACCTTCAATGAACAAGAGGGCTATTTCCATCAACCTTATCTTCAGGGAGAGAGTTTCAGGGAAGATAAGGAAGTAGTAATTTTGGTTTTCCCATTCTTCCAGACTTGACATTTGAACCTAAACGAAATCATATTGAAAGTAGTAATTCTGGTTTTCACATTCTTCCAGACTTGACATTTGAACCTAAACGAAATCATATTGAAAGTAGTAATTCTGGTTTTCCCATTCTTCCAGACTTGATATTTGAACCTAAACGAGATCAAATTGAAGATCAAATTGAAGTTGTAACAAATGAAACAAGTCAAGGAATTGGTCAAGAAAGTGAAATTAATTGTGAAGCTCATCAAGAAGATGTGGAAGCTGGAAAATTTGGTAAGAAGCTGGTATACTCAAGGAAGACTAAGGTCATTCCAGGATCAAGCCATGTTCAAGAATCCAACTCGACTCCACAAAAAGTGGTAACAATTTTTTCTCCAACTGTACAGGTTGAAATTGAAACCCAAAATGATCCTGACCTCCTAATTGCCATTAGAAAAGGAACAAGAAAATGCACCAAATAGCCATTCTACCCTCTCTCAAATTACTTGTCCTTTAAAAATTTCTCTCTTACCCATAAAATCTTCCTAGTAAACCTAAACACTGCACTTCTACCTAATACCCTATTTGAGGCATTGTCTGACAGAAAATGGAGGCAAGCCATGGATGTAGAGATGGAGGCATTGGAGAAGAACAACACCTGGGAGTTAGTCACCTTACCAATAGGAAAGAGGCCAGTTGGATGTAAATGGGTCTATAAAGTGAAATACAAGGTTGATGGATCAATTGAGAGATATAAGACAAGACTAGTTGCCAAAGGGTTCACCCAAACCTATGGAGTTGATTATTTGGAGACCTTTGCTCCTGTTGCCAAAATGAACACAGTTAGGGTGATATTGTCTCTTGCTGTCAATTATGGTTGGAACTTGGAACAATTTGATGTTAAGAATGTTATCCTACATGAAGACCTTGAAGAAGAAATTTATATGGAGATACCTCTGGGATATGGTAAAGATGTTGCCAACACTGTTTGCAAGTTGAAAAAAACATTATATGGGTTAAAACAGTCCCCCTGTGCATGGTTTGGCAGGTTTACTAAAGTTATGACAGGTCTGGGTTACAAACAAAGCCAAGGGGACCATACTTTGATTTTTAAACATTCCAAGTCAGGGGGAGTAACAATATTATTGGTGTATGTGGATGACATAATATTAACTGGAGATAATAAAGAAGAGCAGCAATTATTGAGCCAATACTTAGGCAAGGAATTTGAGATCAAGACCTTGGGAAAACTAAAATATTTTTTGGGAATTGAAGTTGCCCACTCCAAGAAAGGGATATTTATATCTCAACAGAAATACATCATTGATTTGCTCAAGGAAACTGGCAAGGCAGCTTGCAAACCTGCTAGTACCCCATTAGAACCAAACCTAAAGCTTGGAAATGCTGAAGAAGATGTTGTTGAAAAAGATATGTACCAAAGATTAGTGGACAAACTTATATATTTGTCAGGAGGAAACTAGAAATTCTAGTTTTCTCAGGAGAGGATGCATATGGGTGGACTCATAGATTGGAGAGATATTTTGTTGTGAAAGGCGTGTGTGATGAGAAGATGCAGGCTATTATGGTGGATTTGGAGGGAAGGGCATTGAGATGGTTTCAGTGGTGGGAACGATGCAACAAATCCAACCTTTGCCACCAATGTTGAGTGAGGAGTTAGAATTACAAGTCCAGCCTAAAGAATTACTACAGTGGCGACATAATCAACAAGGGCAGACAGAGGTGTTAGTTCAGTGGGCGGATCTGCCACCTTGTGATAGTTCTTGGAAGAGTGTATCACAGTTACAATCCAGTTTTCCACAGTTTCCACTTGAGGACAAGTTAGCTCTCATAGGGGGGAGTATTGATAGAGTCCGTCAGCT